AGGACCCTGGCAAGAGGCTTCTGGGGAAAATTGCCTGAACCTCCCTTCCATTGGCCCCTTGTATACGGAATGTCACAAGACCCTCTATCTGGATCGGGCCAGGAGTGGCCCACAGTTCAGCGCATGAGGGGATAGCAGTCATGTTAAGCAGCATGACCTCAGCATGCCAGTAAATTGTTCCCATGCCCAGCATGTACAAAACTACAGAACATGCAACGCACCCCACCGCCCTCCCCCCCCTGCAAAGCCCGACTGAAAACTTCAACCCTTGGCATCTGGCCATGGACGAGTTCTGCGGGTCAAGATCCCAAACCTCGTCTGGAGTGTCTGGACTTTGGGCTTCACGGCTGCGTGTTGTTGAGAAAAGGGCGGGGCACCAAGCAATGGGGGAAGATTGTAGTAAATTCTTACAAACAGGGGTAAGCGTGGGTTCGGAAGGGTTGGGAGCGGAGAGAGCGGACTGCTTGGCTTCAAGTGTCCTTTACTTTACCCCTAGCAAGCCACAACTGCTCCACAACACCGACAGTACAGGACACGAAGCAGTCTCAGACCTTCAAGTTCTACTTTGTTGGAACTGTACGTGGCCGAGGCCATCGCCTTCAGGATTGCTTCTTCAACTGTGGCATTCGTCAGCAGCTCGTCCGTAGCATTGAGCGTGCCGTGGCCTGCCAGCGCATGACCCTGACCCTATGCAGCCTGCGCAGGTGAACACCGCTGCTAGCCGTTGCTTCCCCAGACTGGTTCCGGCATTGCCTCAAGCGATGTTCGAGAGCTGCTGTGGCCGCATTTCCTTGATCTTCTCACCTTAGCTTGGTTTTGCGCTGAGTGTGTAGCAAGCTGGGCCGAGCTAGGCATACGGGCTCTGGGCGTCTGTCTCAAGTCATGGGCTGAGGGTCAGCATGGCTGCTGAAGAGGCTGCATGACATCGGACATGATACAATCCGCAACATTCCTGCGATGCGAAGCCTGCCACCACATCATCCTCAGCACAGGCGAGTCGACGGGAAGTAGGGTCCTCACGAGCCACAGTCGATGGGGCCTCCAGCAGCTTGTCGCCCGCCGTGGACCCTGGGCTCCGAGGGTCAGTTCTGCAAAGGATTCAGGATGAAGGGCTGCACTAAAGCAACACATTGCCAGTTTTTGCATGCTCTGAAGAGGGCCAATGATGCTGGAGCTGGAAACGGAAGCTGAGCAGATGACTTTTGCCGAGTGCCCAGCCTCTGCTGGTCCGTTAACAAACTGTGACCGTGCCAGGCATTGCTAGGTCAGCGAAATTGTGTGACTTTCAACAGGGTTGTGCCGAGAAAAGACCACACGCACACACGCAACATCACGCAACACAAAGCTCAAAGCTGGCAAGCCATGGCCAATTCTTGCACCCCAAGTGACTCCCAACACTTTTTTGAGGGACACACCTGTGTTTCCAAGGCTCTGCGCTCCGAAAGCTTTGATCTTTGCCTGAGCCAATGGACGCTGCCTTCACATGGCTGAGACGTAAGCATGTTCCAAGGCCGCAGCGGTGGAGGCGTCTGCCAAGGCCTAGAAGAAGGCATCGCCTGCAAAGCCCAGCCTGCAACAAAAAGTCTCGGGTGCAGTGAAAGAATCCTATAAATCCTAAACCCTACGGATCCCAAGGACTCTAAGGACCCCAAGGACCCTAAGCCCTAATAAGAAACCCTTGGTTTAAGAAAATGAGACCGGAAGCTGACACCCAAAAGCCCGGAAAAAGAAGGTGCTGTACCAAAACAAGAAATCCAGGGGCACCCTCTTAGGGTTTAGGGCTTAGGGTTTCGGGGTCGAAATTTCCTTATTTTAGGGGTTGCCGGGCATGGGAAGCTAAGAGATTCAGGGTGCAGTACCTTCAGCTTGGGCTTGAATCCTGCGATAGATTTAAGAAAACTAGAGCGGCCTCAAGGTGGGGCTGATGTATATTTCTTGTCACTCCTGTACCAGGAACCCTAACCTGGCGTGAACCCGAGGAGGTTGAGCTATTCAGGGTTTAGGGTATAGGGTATAGGGTTTAGAGTTGGGGGAACTTGAGGTTGATTGTGGAAAAGTGTTGGGGAGTTGAGTGATCGAGGTTCAGGTCTACACCTTCAACCAAACGCATCGCGAAGTCCTCAGCTCTGCTATAAGAAAATGAGCCCCTCATTTTCTGATTGTCTTTTTTTGGACCTGAATACTCTCTCATTTGCTGTGTAGAGCTTTTGCTGTTGTGATTGGGAAACGAGGTGCTCACTGTCATGTTCACATGCCGGGAGGGACTGCTTCGCACGGTGACGAACCTCAATTTTCGAATCTGCAAGCTCAACCCACGAACCCACTTAGTGGAACCTTCAAAACCTGAACTGCTGCAGTGTGGACTTTCATTTCTCAAGATTCGGCAAGTCATGCGACGAGGAAATCGGCCAATATCGGCCATCCCTCATGAAACGCTTACTCTACATTGCAGAGTCTTGCAGTCTCCTAGAATACATTCTAAGTGTGTATACATACTATCTATAGACACTAGAAAGCTCCGGATTCAAAACCTAAACAGTTTTGTCTTGTTTCTGATTCGCTTTCTTCTGATTTCATTAACCCGACTCGACAATACAGAACACATATCAATGTATGCAATAATCTAAGCCTAGGAACAAAAAACAAACAAACAAAAAAACACACAATACACAATACACAGATATACATACACACACGCACGTTATACTTTAATCAAGAACCATATTCTTTACACACATAATATAAACAACATATGCGTATATGTATGTATATATATATATATATATATGTGTGTGTATATACATATGTAGATATACATATGTATATATACATATATATTAATGTGTATATGTATATATAATGTTCCTTTTGACGCCCTGCGCTCTGCTGGGGCGAGCGACTTTGCAGGCGCCCGCGCGGTGATCGAAGGATCCTGGGAGCCAGACTGCGGCCTGAGCTCTGGCTTGGGATCCTCAACAACCATATTTATTCATGTATATATATATATATGTATGTATGTATGTACATATATATATGTATAAACTAACAATATATACATATATATATATATGGAGATAGATAGATATATATATATATATGTATATATGTATGTAGAGAGAGATTTATTTATATCTTGTGACACTGAATCATAAAGTATCTGTATAATATATATATATATACATATATGTCAGTATATTTATTGTAGAAAAATACAATGTGCTAGTAACGTGGTATATGTGAAATATTGTGTGTAATCTGAAATTGAAGGCATGCCTTGGCGAATGTGTGGATTCGGGGGGAGGGGGGGGAGGGACATCGGCTGTATGTCCTGCTTGCTTGTTTGGGGCCCACGTCGTCGGAGGCTTGAGCATCCGTTGGGCTGTGCATGTCGCAGAGGCTGTGCTTGGCTGCAGGCAGAGAAGTCCTCCAATATACATATATATATATATATGTTCCGCAGAAAAGGAAAGGAATCTATGTTGAAGTGCTCCTCACAAGAGAGCTCGTTGGTTCCCTTCTTAAGTCAGAAGAAGCCCCTACAGCCGAACCCGCCTCCAAGAGTTATTCGCGGTGCCTCGAGCCAACCAGAGATATAATAACCCCGGCAAGTTACAGAACAACAGCAGACCAGGGCTCCGGACAACTTCCGAACGCAGAAATCAACAGCTGCGCCGAGGGGGACCTATCCAGGGTGGAAGTGGAAATCTTGGAGCTGGCCGTGTCTAGCATTGTTGATGCCTGCATTGCCGGGAGGGTTTCTTGTGGATACCTCTAGCGCGGCGTCTTTTTTGAACACAGTGCTCAGAAACACCGCTAGACTGCTAAGCTTGCATCGAAACGTAAGCTGCAAAGCGCCAGTCGGCTGCGGCCCATCTCCGTGCTCGGCTGCAGTGTTTGCAGCCTCACTCAGGCCTGGCAGTGGTGCAGCAAATCACCAGAGCCGTAAAGCCGACGGGACAAGCCCTTAAGTAAAGGAATGGACGGATGTTGAAACTTCAGAATGCTCATCATCCGTAGATACTTGTGATATCAAGACCAGGTCGTACAGAAGGTTCGGGGAGGGGTAGCTAATGGTAGCTAGGAGGAGAGTCGAGGTAGTGGCATGCACCAGAAGCCGAACACCAAGTGGTCTCGTGCCGCGCCCTTGCATCACCCAACGCAAGTTTTGTGATCTTGTTGCCTTGGGCAGCCGGTCCCAGCACTGGTTACACCCTAAACCCTAAACCCTAAACCCTAATTGCGCCCCGGCCTCATTCGGCCGCGGGAGATTTCTAGAGCCAGGCCAAGGGTCCAGCTCGCCTCAAAGCGGCCAGCAGGGCCATCCATCTCCTGTGACGTAATTTCTTTCGGGAGTCGCTCTTGACACTTGCTTCGGGGTACTTATGGGGTCGACCCTCCGATACGGGGCGACCGACTGCAATTCCTGAAGCATTGAACGAACGTGTATTTCTTCGAGTTCGTTCTTTGCCAAGTGGTTTTTATAATGTTCTTATTATCTCCAGGCAGATCCGGCAATCCCACACGCTACCTGAGGGAATTACATCCCACAATCACGGAAGACCCCATCCACAGAATGTCTGCGCGCTGGCTTCACCGGTGACTCTTCGCACCCTGGCCTTGAGAGTCAGCATGTTGGCATCGGCCTGCGCTTGTCGTCGACATGAGTGCTAGAAACCCAGAATCGCAGAATCATCAAGCAACCGGCTGTGGGTTTCGGGCCTGAAGGCTCAACTCTCATGCTTAGAAAGCATGCTGAGACCTGTAGTATAGCAGGCCACCGTGAGGACGAGGCCCAAGATCATGTTGGGGGTGTGATAGGAATCGATGGAACGGCTTGCGGCAACGAGCAAGGCCATGAGTACTCCTTCCTTGTGTCGTGTGCATTGCTGGTGATAAGCTGTTCGGCATCAAGCAGTGCATCGGACTCAAAAAGTTTACATCCCTGGAATTCCCAACCAAACACACCTGCACAGCCATCTACGGACAGCAACATGTTCAGCTTAGCTTGCTATATACATTCGTACAGGACCTGAACCGCCTCCTCGCGCGGCTGTACGCAGTCTCCAATCCCGACACCTACAGAGCCAGGGTTCCCGTCCAGCCTCCACGCCAAATCCAAAGGTCAAGAGGATGTAGACATACGTTAGCTCGGAGCCTGGGAACATGCATGTCCCAGTGCTACAGGGCGACTGACTTCTGAGGGGCCAACTCATGCCAAAGCTGAACATACGTGGTGTGTTCATGACGATGACTGAAGCAGACTGGACCTCTAAGCTCCAGTCACAACCACGAAGCCCGCTCGGCGCTCAAGCCTGCAGCATCAGAGCAAGAATGCCAGATGGAAGCTTCGGTTCCGAAGCCCTCCTCACAGCAACCGCCTGCCACTGAAAGCGCACGCGCCTGGATATGCAGAATCCAGGTCGGAAGATGACAGGCTGCACGCCTTTTCCGCTTGCTCGAGGTACACCTGTCGTATTTTCCGAAAAGCTCTGGGAGACACTCTCTCTTGACACCCCTTTAGCCGATGCCTTTGCCTCGTCGGTTACACATACTGCGCAGCTCCATCGCTGATATGTTCAGTGCTGCAAACGCCAACACGAGACCCTTTGTGCACATCACGGCCGATCGCCGGCGTGGATACGTCAAGTTGCGAACTGGCACGAAACATGTAAAAATGCACCAGGAAAATAGAGCCCACCTGAGGTGTCACCTCGGCATGCGATGTGTTGACCGGTATGATGCCGACGTCCTGCGCTTGCTTCATGACTTCATGCGAGGTGGACCACGCAGGGTCATCAACAGCATCTTGACATTTTGCAACGTGCCGTCGGTGAACATGAAGCACGTGTGTCAGAAGAATACGCCCTCTACGCGTGTTCATGAATCGTGGTACGCGATCGGCTGTCCGCATGAAACCGCCAGGGTATGCTACGCCGCTATGGCAACGGCGCTTCATGGAGACAACTCAGAGGCCTGGACCTGTACCCACATCACCTTGCACTACCCCGGCCAGAGAGCTACGGCCATGCCTGCAGGCACCAGAAGAAGAAAGAGCAAGCCACGAGCTTCGGGCGACCCCCGGTATCGAGGGAGGATTTGTAGCCTGCAAGGCATCTGTCGATCATGCTGTTCCGACTGGATGCTATTCTCTAGACATGTCTCAACGATAGTATCCCGTTGCAGCAGCTAAAGATCCCTAAAAGAGAGCTGCTCAAGTACTTGCCTGCGCCCGCGTTGATGAGATGGCCTGCCTTGTGACGGCCTCTGAAGCCCCTGAAGCCACTCGATTGCCTAGAAGCCCCGATTATATATATATATATATATGTATGTATGTATATATAACTAAATAACTAAATATACATATACATAGTAATTTATTAATTATGACTTTTTAAATTTATGTATTCATTTATCTATTTATATATGTTGTTTATATTTACGTGTGTATGCTTATATCTGTATACAATATTATAATATATTATAATATCTTATAATATATTATAATATATAATATTATACTACGCTATGTTATAATATATATATATATATATATATATTGTATAAGTGTATCTATATAAACACAGCTATACATATCCATATATATATATATATATATTATGTGTATATATATATATATATGCAGGCCTGGACCAGGCCAGGCTCCCCCGAAGGCACAGTGCACATCCTCCGGCGCGGTTTCCTCTCAAGACGCTTAAGGTTGTTAAGGGTTTTTAGGTTTAGGGTTTGCGGATAGATGGGTGAATGGCCTCTTAAAACATGTCGGGCTCAGGGGACGGCGCAAATGTGCCTGTTTAGCGTTGCTGCACGGCCTTTTACAAGCTCATTCCCCAGGGTGTGGCCCAGATGTGTGATGCCGAGGGCTGTCAAAGGGAAGAACATTCTGGCTTCAGACACGACACCTCCATGCCTTTCGGACGACCTGCCTTGAGCAACCCAGAATGGCCCTTCCGTTACATCACTCTCTTCAGATGCACGGCCCTGGCAAGAGCCTGCGAGCAGGACCGTCCAGGCTGTAGGATCCTGCGCTGGCTCCCAGGAATGCTGCTCTGACATGTCAGGAACTTCATCGTTTCGGCAAAGTTTCTTGTCGCATACAACCACCCTAAGTAAAACCCCCCAAACCCTAAACCCTAAACCCCAAACCCCCAAACCCTAAACCCCCAAACCCTCAACCCTACACCCTACACCCCTGAGTCCACCACCTGGCTGGCCCCCCCCCTCCCCCACCCCTCCCCCTCCGCCCTCCTTCTGAAAAGCTCCGCGCATCTGGCTTGGTCTGCAGCGCCTCGGCCTCTCTTTTCGGATTGAACAGATTGAGGTGTCAGGACTGGTATCATCTACCAGGATGTAGCATGCATATATATAGATGTATATATGTAACATATGTGTATATATATATATAGGTAACGTATAGCTTAGAAAGTATGATAGAACATTGAAACCTGCACCTGAACACCTCGGCTCCCGAGCCCCGCAGCCCCTCCTAAACATGGACAGGCCTCTGAACGTCCTCTGCTGGGAGGTGTACTCCATGTAAAAGGACCTCTGCAGCGGCTGCTTATAGCAACCTTGGAGACCTTTGTCTCTTCCAAAGGTTGCACATGTCGTCAGAAAGATGACTCTGGCTGACTGCTTGGCAGGACATCCCTGGGCTCCAGGACAAAGGTCATGTACGCAGCTTGTGTAACAAGATTGACGAAGCCAACAGGATTCTGGAAAGCTTCACCGGTGTCATTGGTTAGACTCTGATGCCGTATAATTCGCCACTTATGTTCAATAAAGCAGCCCGAGACACTTTCCCTGCCACATCCAATTCTCCTTTGAAGCTTGAAGGTCTAGCATTAGGAGCCGTCCCGTTGCCCTGAGGCTGGCACGTGGGGAGACACGGGTTGCTGTCAGCTGCCTGGAGTGCAATGGCCTCCTGGGTGCTTTTGCCTACCTGAGTCACAGAAGTAACGATGTTGGCCCATCAAGAGATGATAAACCCGAACCCAAAGAGATGTCAAGAGGAACCTTGCAGCAACCTCCGTTCCATGGACGCATGTCCAGCTTCTGTCCTCGAACATCTTCGTTCGAATCGCCAGGATCCCATAGCCCAAATAGCTATGCTGGTAGATGGGGATGGAACTGTCGGAGCCTCTTCAGTTGGCAAGTTGAATGTTGCGCCAGGAAGGAGAGCACAGTGCATTCACCCAAGCAGCCCTGACACTGCAGCTAGACCGTCCACCCAAGCAGAAAAGTCAGCAGCACATCTCCCAGGTTTTCGCTGCAAGCTGGGAAATGCTGAGGTGACCTGCTCAGCCCGAAAACTTGGAACGACCACGCTACCATGACTTCAACTTAACCCCGCACCCAGAGCCTGCCTGAAGGACGAAGCCTCGGAACACAACAAAACGTTGTTTGTCACTGGGTGGCTTTTCTTCGAGTTCCCGATAGGCGTAGCGTAGCACAGTATGGCTGCTTCGCTGTTGCTTCTGCACGCAAAGGCACTTTGAGGCTGCCGGCACACATGTATCTTCCCTTCAGGACACCTTTCACCCTACACCCTACACCTTGATCTGAGGCCCCAGCTCCCGGATGTAGCCCGCTTGCAGTTCTTGGCTCACTTTGCTGAGCCGGAAAGGTTGGACGGCATACGTCATCCTGAGTTCGCATGAAAGCGGCTCCTCATGGGTGTCGGCTTCTTCTCCCACCCGCACGGTGCCGGGTTTAGGATGTAGCTGCTTAGGATATAGCTGCGCTTGTTTTCTACTGGGTGGTCTTCCTGTGCACGACAAAGCAAGCGTCCATTTTCACTTCAAGTTGGCAAGTGTTCCTTTCCGGGCCTATCCAGATCTCAGAAACCAGCCAACCCCTGGCGTCGACAAATTGAAATTTCCAACAAGTGCAGCCCAAAGGCTGTGCTGACGCCCCGCCCAACTCGAAGACGGCGGCCTTGCTGAGACACTGTGACCCTCCTTCTTGCTTGTTATCTTTCTTTCTGTCGTGGGGAGGTCAATCCCTCCCTTCCTTCCTTCCTTCCTTCCCTCCCTCCCTCCCTCAACCAACCCTAAACCCATAGAACTCGTTGGATTCCCAGTTTGGCCCTGTTGGCCTTCGGGTGAACCTTTCGACTATGAGAGTCCCCTGCGCAGGAGCAAGACATAGGGATACCCCAACCCAGTCTGATGAACAGTTTAGTTTGCGCAGTTGGTCAGGATTGGGACTCTGAAGGCCTGAGTCTCCTGGCTTTCCGGGTTTTTGAGTTTAGGTATCGCACTTGACCGGGTGCCAGGACAAGCACAGCTTGCAGGACTCTCTCGGTCTCTCTCTCTCTCTCTCTCTCTCTCTCTCTCTCTCTCTCTCTCTCTCACACTCTCACTCTCACTCTCACCTCTTCATTAGGACGCCGTTCTGAGGCGTGAGCTGGTGCGCCAGCCTTCTCAAAGGCTCCAAGCAGACTATTCACAGCCTCAAGCTGGAGCACGACCGACAGTGGCCGACAAACAAAGCAGCGAAAGCCCAAGCAGATGATGAGGGTTTGGGCTCTTCTCAACGAACTGCTGCACGAGACAAGGTCTGTAAACTTCAACGCTTCTTGTGTACTTACATGCTGTATATATACAGCTGAAGATTTTCAGTGATGTTCAGGTGCGCGTTCGGATGACCTACTCAGTATAACGGCCTCCTCTAGAATCGCTTGCTTCATGCCAGCCCTTGAACTTCGCATGGCGCACGCCACACCCTTTCAAGCAAAGGAGTGGGTGAGCAGCTGCCTTGTCATCAACAGCATGCAGCCAGGCATCAATCCACTGGAGACAGCCTTCATCATCACCGCCCATCACCTTCACTGACCCGAACAGCTGCATGTAGCTGAACTGCAGAGTGGATGTGTCATGCCCACGAAAGTTCGCGAAGTCCAATGCCGGGCCTCCACCGTAGAATTCAAAAGAGCGTGCTGGCGCACAAGGTCTTGAATCCCATCCCTTGGCCATCATGCATGAGGCTCTTGGATTTCGGTGCAAGTTAGCAATTCAGATCTGCATCTTGCATGGCGCACGGTATCAGACCGTATAACCACTGTAAGGCTTTCCAACTATGAAAGTGCGACTTGACCGGCATGACAAGGACAGGACGGGATGAGATGGCAGAACATTGCAGTACCAGTGCTGTAGTGGTAGAAGTTACCGTCCTCTTTGGACCAGGACTTTCGCCAACATTCGGTCAATGGCGAACCTGTAAGTCGACACATGCGAGCCTGAATGTATCCTTGCAGTAACTATCGAAACCCAGAGAAGCCCAAAAAGGCCGGGTCACAAGAGGAAGTCGACTTGAGTCCGGCTCAAGAGGCGGAAGCCTGTGACTTGACAAAAATGCAAAGAACTGTTTGGGCTCTTGAGGAGCTTGAGGAGGTTGATTTCCAAGAAAAGCCATGGGCTGGGATGCTTTGAGTTCTACGTTCGCGGTGCAAGGGGCGAGTGCTGTGCTGGCCTGCTGTTGCTCGAACTGCCAATGGGGTCGTGGCGAGGAGAGGAGTAGGCACCTGCACGCTTAGCAGGCTGATGAAGCTGACGCTGAAAGTCACTGGACTGGTGCGTTTTGCATGTACAAGAAATAACCGCCCCCTACATAGGACATGTCATGAGGGGTTCGGACCAAGGCACTTGCAAAGTCACTTCTGAGAGGAGCGGTTGCAGGAGCGAAGACCTTGGTTGGCAACCCGTGCACATGCCGGTGTGCAAGGCAATGTCAGGCTCTTGGGGTTACGACTCAGGTCAGCCAGTAGAGATTGAAGATTGAAGGCTGTATTCATAACGGTGAAAGATGAAGAAGTCCAAGTCCCAGAAGCCTCTTAACTCTCTTGACTGAGGATGTGACAAGCAGGTTGGCTCTGAGCAGGTGTTCAGGCCAGGCCGGGTTTTCCTTCACGCAAAGGGCGTGGGTAGCCGGGCTGGGCTGGAAGGGATTTAGGCCGAATATGAGGTGGTATAGACTGTCTTATCATTGTGCCTGGCAGGTTTGTCGTGTGCCATTGAGGCATGGCGGCATGAGGGAAAAGACCTCTCAAGTCGGAACATACCTCTTTCCGGCCGGAGGCACAGTTGTCTGCCATCCCGTTGGCCATCCGGCGTGCTTCAAATTGGTGGGATCCCTGGACCTCCGTGCTTGGTCAGAAACGGCTGTGCGGCAACACCGAGTGGACTTCTAACTCGCGTTCTCTTGTTCCGGTCTGCCCTTCCCAGAAGGGTAAGCATCTGTGAGCGAACCGATCCACCACCTCGCGCTGTAATGGAGCCCCTACACTTGGTAGCATCCTGTCTGTGAGACGGTCCCCCCACATGCTGTCTTGTTCTTGATGGGTCTGGCTTTCTGCTCCGACGGACAGGTAGCAGTGGAGATGCAGACTGGTTCCGCATGTCGAGGCTGAGACTGCTGACTGCCACATTAGATGGTGGGCTATGGATTTTGAGAGCCCTGTACCCTGTGTGCAATGTTCACTCGCTTTCATGCTCACGGCCCAAGTAACTTCACAGCTTCAGCTGACAGTGATATCAGCACAGGAACCTCACGACCTCGCTCCCTGCAGCACAAAGGTCGCCTGCCAGGGCAGGTTGGCAGCTTCGAGTTTTCAAGATGCTTTCGTTGGCAGCTGACTGTGCTAACTGCGGAACCATGTTGCACTGTTTCTTCACTGCAGGTCCTAGCTGCGCAGCCATTCCACACATGATGAGGCCCCACAGTCACAGCACACAGCATGAGCCTCCACCGAAACAGTAGATGTGAACCCGGGTACCGGTGCTCCCTGGCAGTTTGCAGATTTTCAGGAAAGCCACCTCACTAAGCACGATGCCCATCGGATTTAAGGACTTCGTGGATACCCCTCTCGGACAAAGGGCTCGCGGCCACCCACGGACACCATTTTGACAAGTTGTCTCCCGGTGTCATTTTCCAGCGACCGAATCAGCTCATCTTAAACCCTAAACCCAAAATCCTAAACCCTAAACCCTAGAATCCATATCTTCCCCTGTGCGCCTGCATCGAGCACAACGGCAAAGGGCGATTGATGCCGGTACCGCGAAGATTGCTGAAAGATTGCTGGCTCCCACGTGCTGAAGGCCACGATCCTTGGTTTAGGGTTTAGGGTTTAGGGTTACATCAATTTTTCAGGGCTGAGCCCTCAGGCCTTGCCTTAAACCGCCGCCTCACTGAGCGAAACCTTCCACCCTAACGCCCTGAAGTTACCCAAAGCAGGAGATCCAGCAGTAGCTTGCTTGCCTCTCTCAGTGTGGATGACAAGTTCCCACTCTTGAAGATTAGGCCTAAACCCCAAACCCTAAACCCTAAACCTTTCTCAAACCCCTAAACCCTAAACCCTAAGCTTCAAAAAAAGCTTTGCGCCACGGTGCCCAGACAGGCAGCTCGCAACTGCTGAGAGAGCGGCGCATCCGAATCCCACCTTCAGGGCCAAGACGAGCAACTTCCACCGAGACCTACTCATATTATTACTACTACTGTTATTCTGGTTGTTATGATTACTATTATTGTTATGATTTAGTATTATTATGCTTATTGTTAGTATTGTTATTCTTGTTATTATGACTACTATATACATATATATATACACATTTCCTGATTATGCAGAGGATCTTGGCCAAGCAACTGACGACTTTTTCTCCACGAAAGTTGAAACTGTGTCAAGGGGATGCGCTTCCTTCAGAAGGCGCTCTTGAATTACATGCAGACTACGCTGTCGACTGAGCTCTGCCGCCGCAATCTGAACATAATCTGCGCCTGTGCCTTTTCGATGTCATGTAGCTGTTCCCCGAGCTTGAGATTTTGTCTGGTCAGGGTGTGCAGATCCAGCGCACGTGCTGGGCCATGCAACTGCAGACATCGCTCAATAAATTCGTTGACATCTACCAGGTTGTCGCCGTCTTGATCCAAACTCGCAAACAAGGTCCATGCATCAGCAGCCTTTATGTCAGCTGTCTCCATCAAAGCCTTCATCGCCTCACTATCGAATAGAGATTCAAACTCAGACAGTGTCAGCTTGCCATCACCGCTCGAATCAATTTGCTTGAAAATCTTCATCATCAACATTCGGAAATCGTGACGATCCTCCAGCTTCGCCTTCTGGTCACGTTCGGCAGACTTGATGGCACTGTTGCCTTGGCGGGCCAAAAGTCCCTCCTTGAAAAACTCTTTAGGTTTTGATTTTCGGGTTTCGGGTTTAGGGTTTAGGGTTTAGGGTTTAGGGTTTAGGGAAAGAAGCAAAAGAAAGAAGCAAAAGTTGACGTTACCGCTAACATAATGGCAAGCCAGGAATCAGAACACGCCGGTCATGACCTGCAGAAGGGGGTTGGACTTCCCCAAGCAATGTGAAGGGCTGAAGTCTGCACGGCCGCACGCAAAACTTTTTATTTGGAAGACCGCATGCACTACGGAGCAAGGGAGGGAGCCTAGCAACCATGGCACGAAGTGCAAAACCACACCACGACACGGAACTTCTACTTACCATGTCAAGCACGCACCAATGGCCAAACGAGGCCACGGGAACAAAGTGTCTGTATATAGTTTAGGGTCTAGGTTTAGCTGCTAAATGAAAAAACATCATAGGTCGTGCGTCGGAACACAAAACCGACGTTTGAAAATTGGACCGCTGCAAAATGACTTCAAACAGCACGTTTTCCGCGAGACGGCATTAAAGTTGTTGTCCCTCCCAAGCCCCTGGATGCCCTGGATGATGGAATAACGTCATCAAAGTGCACGGCTGTGGGACAGTTGAGCTTCTTTGGTTTCATTCTGCCTAGGCCTCTGCCCACCCCTCAAAGGAGCGAATCCTGAAGGTACCTGAAACACTACGGCAGAACACGTAACTGGACCAACCGTGGTTGCATCAGACCCCAAGTCCAACAGACACTGCAGATCGCTGCAGCTGAGTCTCGTTGAGGACGGCAAAGGATACAAATGCCACGTACAGCTGAAAGACCTGCACCCAGAAGATTCCCAGGGGATTCAGGCTATCAGCCGCATCCTGCCAGTCAAGACCACCTGAGATCGTTCTGAAGAGCGTGGCGATGGATGTGTACAGCGATCCAAAGTATCTCATGAGATTCGCATCGACGGCTCTTTCTGACTTCATGTGCTCAAGAGCCACATCGGTAAACAAAATACCTCGGCGTCGTTTTAAAAACCCTTCCATGGGAAGCCTAGCTCAGGTAAACCATACAAGAAACAAATGTCCCAGGCCTTAGATACTTAGATACTTAGACTCACGACTGCCAATAGTGACACAAAAGCAAGAACAGCATCTCTTCAACTGGCAAACCCACCAACTCTCATTGCCAGGCAAGAGCTCCAAAAGCCACACACCAAGAGCACACGAGGGAACTGCAACGAACAACAGCCTGGCTCCCGCACACGCAAGATACTTCGAAGAAAGAATTCCACGAAGCGAACCAAGGAACCGAAGACATACATGATGAGGAAGAGCAGGAGCAGCGCCCAAAACAGCGATCGCAGCGTGTCCACCAAGGAGGAGACGAGGGTCCTCAGGGCGCCCACGAAGCGAATCACCCAAACGGTGCGCAGGATACGCAGGAGCCTGGATGCACGGATAATCCGAACAATCCGTATGCTGGAGCCGACTCCTGTGTCCGAATCATCAAAGAGAAAGTCGAGTAAGATCACGGTCCAAGATGAGAGGACCACTGAAATATCCAGCAAATTCCAGGCCCAGTCCAGACCGCAAACATATTCTCGAGGCCCAGCAGCAATGCAGCGCAAGACAACCTCAAGAGAGAAGACGACGGCATATGTCAACTGCACTACAAATGTCGAGGCTGCTGGCCCTGACGGGGATGCAGGGTCTATGCTGTCAACCTGCACGCCCAAGTAGACTGCGTTCGAGATGATCACCAAAGCGAAGAAAATATCAAAGAAGCTGGCATTCACCAACGCAATAACGGCTGCCCGCATTTCGGACAAGAAGACATATACGCTGGCCCGCTCGTGGGCCTTCTTGAACTTCTTCCGGGAAGCAACTGCCTTAGCTTTCTCATACGCAGTCTGAAAGGTAGCGGAAGTGACCTCGACCCCGACATCTTCCAGGTTTTCCACCACCTCTAGCTTCTCTAGCTTCTCCTCTCGCGGGGTGCATTTCACATCGTCTGCGAGAGGCTCCTTTCCTGGCTCCGCCACGGCTTTGCTGACGGACACATGGAGGCCATCATGGAGGCCATCAGGGGGATTCACTTCCTGCAGCCTCATTTTGATCTCCGCCTCAAGGTCGCTGAACCAAGAGTCCACCTGGCCCAACAAATCCTTGCGACAATGCCGAAGGACTTCATCCACCAATTCAAACTCTTTTGCTTGCGACATTGCCCTAGGGTGAAAGCGTACCAAGACCTGTGCGGGCCTAGCACTCTAGAATTGCAGAAGCTGCAGCCAGTAAATGTCACCAAAACAAGAAGATGCACATCGCATCGATGCGCACATGTTGTTCAAATTACCTACCTGAACCTTGAAGGGCTGTCGCCTAGCCCTGGAGTTGCGATCTGTGGGCTTCCGGCAGCATGGGTACACAGCATTCCCAGCATGTCCCGACCCTCAGCCGATGGCTGCGAGCGCAATGCGCGAGCCGCGGCGATTTTGACGGAGACGCGGCTTTGAAGAGATCCTCTGGGCTGTTCGATGGCTGCAAGTGCCGGAAGATCAAATGGACGTGGTACTTGCAAATTCTACACCAGTCATGCAAAGGGTGATAGCTGACGGTACACGTCTGAGCATGACAGCTGAAACCGTTGTTCTTAGGTATTCTTAGGTCAGTAGAGGTTGCTCTGGAATCGACAGGGACTCTGGACTGCTAGATCCTGTTGCATATGGGTTCAGGGTCTATTTTGGGGTTTAGGGATGCATCTCTTGTTTCGCAGAACTCCGATCTCGTCGTCGAAAGCTTCCTGTCCTGCTCCGGCAAAGCCTGCTCCACTGATGGTAAGTCGAGCCAGATCTCGCACGGTGGTCGGAGTGTTTTTTCAAGGGTTTAGAGTTTAGGGTTTAGGTTGGAGGCTTGGTCAATATCTACGTGGCGTTTACAAATTGAGCTTGTAGCACGCGACTTCAGCATGTGCATGGCAATGACGTGTTTTTGATGGCTTCGGATGGGGCTGCAACTACCATTTTGGGGTCCTCGAGTCTAGTTGCCCGCTTCAGTACAGGACTGCACAGGACATCAAGCGATAGCGTGCGCTTTTAGCAACACGTTCAAATTCTCAGCCTGCACTGCAGCTTTGGCCATCGAGGGCCAATAGGCCACATCGTTGACTTGCAGCTACGGATCAGCTCATTTTTGCTTATAGGTCAACTGAGGTCTTCAGTGGGTGGAGTGAGGGGTGCGAACAGACGTGGGGTGGTGGCTTGAATCACTTACCATTCATGGGGACTTGTGCTGCGAAAACGGACTTTGTTTAGTGCCATGTCAGGCGTGCATCTCATGCAGGCTTGCTTGGTGTAGCCGCTGCAGGTGCTTCTGGAAGGCTTGATGCTTGTCCACAGTTCAATAGACCATGCTCACATGGACACCATGCACTTTGAAGATCTTGTGAAGATCTTGCCTTATAGTTGCTTTGTGCCTAATAATAAGCATTACAATCCCAAGAAAACTCCGTGAGCTTCCGCTCCTGCATTTCCACCTTTTGAGCCCAGATGGCAAGCCGCAAGTGGCTGCGAGAAGTGCAGGGGAGTACGCAAACACCAGGGCAAGAACCGGCCATGGTGACCTCATCTGCCATGGGTGCGCAACTGACAATCTACAAATGCGGCATCTCTGCACACAATCTTCGAGCCTCGCCAAAGCCTTGGCCATTCAATCTCAATGATATTTCGCTTGCGCACATGCCAAGGTGGCTGCTCCCTGAAGGTCTTGACAGATGTCATCCTATGCCATGTGTCTGGAGGAAACTGCGTACCCTACTTCATGTATGTGCCATACCAGGAAGGTGTCAGGAACCCAGGTTTAGAACCGGAATACTGAGCTCACTTGGGGCGCGACGCTGCAGAATGGTAGATGCCCGTGACAGGTTCGACAGGTCCACTGTGCTCATCTCGGCCTCGGAGAATGCAGGCACTGCTTGGCAGAGAGGGCCGCAAGGAATACATCAACAGTTGGCAACTTGCATTTCCCAACCTCCCCGTGAGATTCTGAGGGCCTAGCCATCAGCTCACGTGCTGTCGTTGACAGGACACTCGCCAAGGCCCTACCTGAACCACAGGAAATAGCATGCTGCATGACTTTCGGGTCTTTGTATGCCCTATGGCACTGTGGCCAACCACGAAGATGCAGACTTGTGTCTATCCCGGAAAATAACATCAGAGCAGTGCCGAAAACCCTTTGAACTTTTCATTCGACTATGGAAGAGTTTTCGCGGGCTCTGACGCGGCCTGCTGCAGGTCGCATCGCGCGCTGACGCGCACGTGCTTTTTGGGGTTGCACTGACGCGGACTATCGCGGGAAGCCAACACAAGACCCCAAACCTTCAGACTAGCCTGAACCCGAATATTGAGCCCGAAATGCCTGAACACTAAACTTTCCAAGAGGTTTGGGATGAGACCTGGAAATGAAGCCCTCACTGGTCATTACTTCGCCCAACCCCATTAATTAAAGACCCTGTGCTGTTTCGGCTGTTGCGCGGTTTTTCCGTCGGGGTGTGGGCGCTATTAAGCTGAAGATGAATGGGTCACCTAGCCTACCTGTTGCTGACGCGCGGAGATCGCGGAGCTGACGCGCAGCTGACGCGGATTTCGCGGCCCTAAACCCTAAGCCCTAAACCCTCAACCCTCAACCCTACCCTCTCGCGCGCTATCGCGCGCTCTCGCAACCAGAGCTCTCTCGCAGAAACTATCGCGCACTGGCGCGCCTCGGACTTTAGCTGACGCGGGCCAATCAAAGGCGAACCCTCAATCTAATTCTTTCATGGAAGGTTTACGGCGCCGTAACTTCGCACTCTGATTTATGAACTTTTGAACACAGCAATCAGCAGCAACCATGCAGACTGTAGTCGTGCAGTCGGCTAGCATTTGCACTCAGGCATGCCAGCACTTCTCCGGCCTTCCGTCGCGAGTTTTGCAACCGCCCAAAGAAGGTTGACCTGTGCTTCGCTTTGAGCTTTTGGAGTTCATGGCTCATGCTGCCCATGCTGAATGATGCCTGTCTGTGGTTTCAGAACACTGCCATGCAAGTGGTTTCGAGTCTGAGGCTAAGGGCGCGTAAGTGTCAAAGGCCGGCGCAAGCATTCATGGACCCACCCGACACATTCCAGGCGCCTTTTCCTTTCACCGACCTGCTGGCAAGCGAGGATCTCCTGAGCGTGCGGCGACGCCCTGAGTGCCAAATTGGTCCAGGAGGTGCCAGGAGGCCTGAAAAAATGAAGCAATGCTCAATCCAGCACGACATGCTCACCGAAGCAGCATCTTACAGCCATCCTGCTTGTGACACCTTACCACGGCACCCGTTGCAAATCAGGTCTCTTGGACTCAGACGCTTCCTGTGGAGTCCATCACCTTATCGCTGTCGTCGTGGGCTTGTGGCTGAAGACAAGTGATCCAAGCTTGCATCAGAATTTCTGCAGACATGTGACCAATGAAATGAGTGCACCCGATCAACACGACAATCTGCAAACCAAAGCTGACCCTACTCATGATGCCGTTAACGTCAAGCCATTCCAAACCCTAAACCCTAAACCCTAAACCCTAAACCCAAAACCCTATCTTTACCCAAAGTGCAAGCCCCAAAGCAGCCGATCGAGCCGACCCAGGTGTATAAGCGGCCGGCCGCCGGACTCACGTACACTGCCTTGGCAGAGCCCCAAGACACGTTGGCCACCTTGGAGGGTTTATAGGGCTTGTAGGGTTATAGGGTTTTAGGGCTTTAGGGTTTTAGGGTTTAGGGTTTTAGGGTAGGTTCCTGGTGTGAACTGTAGTTAAGGATCGGAGTGTAGGGTTGTTTTCTGGAACAAAGTGCTGCTGGCGTAGGTGTTTCAGGAGTCTCGGGACTCCGACTTCTTTGGGGTATGTAGCTTCTCGAATTGGGCTTACTTAGTGGATCGCTCTCATGCCACCAGAGTGTCCCGCAAGCCGTTGCCGCTGTGTTTTTACCACCCTGTTGCCCCACGCTGAGATGTTGGCGTGCTGCGACGTGAGCTCCAACATCTTCAGCTATGCCTGAGCCCTGCGCTGCAGGATTTACCAGGAGCCGTACGCCGCTTCGCTTTTTCTGGGGTGGAGTCTGGGGTGGCGGCAAGAATGTGGCAGCAATTTGGTGGCTAAAGGTCTTAGGCCAGGTGGCTGACGAGTGCATGATGCCTGGCAATGCCCACCCGATACACCGGCCGCCTGATCGCATCCATCAGGGGCATCTTCAGCCTCGAGGCTGCAGTCCATCAGCAGGGTTCTAACAACAATCTGGTCTCGCTCCCCACTCCCACCGAGTGCTTGCACGGAACTGCATTACATACTGCTAGCTTCTAGAATCCAAGAATTCTAGATCTTAGCTGTGATAATAAGCCATCTTTGAGTCCTTGAGCAGGTTGCTTGGCTCCCTGCGCATTCAGCGACGCGAGCCCCCATGCCATGTTGGCAAGGCCTTGCAAGAAAAACGTCGTTGATGTCTGCGCATGAGGCACATGACAGGACATGCACACTGCAAAGCCGATCACGCAACAAAACCCGGCATGGAAGTTTAGACTTGGACGAACATGCCATCACAAGCAATCAAGCAACTTCTCGCAACTTATTGCGTCATCCTGTGTCTGTTGTGTCGCACGCCGGGGCCCTTGATGTCCCAACAAAGGCATAGGTTCTCCGGATTCCTTGTCGATCTGCTCGGCCAATGCTGTCCAGAAAGCCATGGGCAATACCTACAGAAAGGTCAGAGCAACGAAGCGGCTCAACCGCTGCATGCAGGATGCAGGGGGGGTTGACCGAATTACAATGCAGGCAAATGCAGTTTAACTGCCGTATCCCCCTTCCCTTGTCTGACAGTGCTCCACTGGCTCAGGGCCCAGGCAGTCTAACAGCAGCATGTCTTTCAGGCCGAACTTTGCAAAACACCGGCCCAGGTTCGACCTCGGCAGCCCAAACTAGCATAGAAGCAGCCCCACACGAGGCACGACTGACTGCATCGATGCCATGGACCTCATCCGTGAACTCCCGTGTCTTGCGCTCTGACGCCAACCTTGCCTTTCAGCCTACTGGGCACCCCTAGGCATAGTTGACTGGATTCACTCGATGTCCTTCTGAGGTCCTTCTGTGCTCAGTGGTTGGCATGTGCTGCGGCGCAAGAGACCCCATTCTCATGGTTCCCTGTGTTGAGGTCGCACTGGGCAGCATCCGGCCGTGCCAACCTGAAGAGCTCCGGCTGAAACCAGAAGCTGTGCAGCGGCATAGTAGCTGTTCGTGGCTGCTCCAAAGTGGCACAGTACCAATGGGCCATACAGTTTTCGGGCTCTACGAAAACTCTTGTTCATGTCTTGATCATCATCATAATCGACTGCACTGAGCCCGAAGTCAGAATGGTCATTCAAAACTGTATATACATATATGATATATATATATATATATGATATATGATATATATATATAATATACATACACTGCCAGGATGCCTGATGTTCTCGTCCCCCGCCCAACCTTAGCAGGAACGGCCAGGGGATGCATATTTCATATCGTTTTAAAATTCGTTGAGGTTGCTTCTGAGTGAAGCGCGTTGGCGGGATTTTGCGGTCCTCCTTCTGAAATCTTCGCCGCTGCGGAAATCGAAGCCTGGGCCATCTGAACCGCTGGCGCAAACTTGTTGAACTGGCAGTGTGGCAATTCGCTGTGACCTTCGTAACCAACGCTTGTAAACACGTAGAGCTGCACGTCCAATCTGGGTGTCGAAGAAATACTACTGTTAATTAATATTCCTTAGCAGACGTGGTACTGCTTGCCGACGTGCAAGGTGCCAGCAAGCAATAACCTGCAAGGGTGGAAGGAAAGCTCCTGGCTGCCTGCGACGACGATGCCTCTGCAGTTCGCAACTCCTACTGTGCGTGGTATGCGGAGTAACTCATCGCAGTTCCAGCAACTTTTTCAGCCACCTGGCCTCAAACTGGCGTTGCTTGGCGAATCCCCGGCCTGAAAAGAGAAACGACCAGTGCTGAAAGGCGTAGCCCTTGGACGCTTGGAGTTCTCGCAATGTTCCTGAAAACTGAGGGATGCACATATGTTCGCCAAGTTCCGCATCGTGAGCTAGTGCCTCTGCTCGGTTCTGGTTGCATTGTTGCGTTCCATCAGCTGGGTCTGTTCTCAACAAGACGCGCGGTTACCGGCACAACCAGAGGGCGCAAGTTGAGGCCAACGACAGCTCGCCCTAATGTGTCTGAAAACCCTAAAACCGTAAATACCCTAAAGCTGTACATAACCTGAACCCTCAAGACCCTGAAGCCCTAAATGACCTAAAGCATCAACACCCAAAAAACCTAAATGTCCTAAACCCTGATTTCCCTCTAAACTAAAGACACTATAAGGCCTCAATACCCTAAAACCCTCAATGCCCTGAACCTTCAACACCCTAACCCTTAACACGCACAGACTCTGCTGTTGTTCCTGTTGCTTGAGGTTGGAATCCATACTAAAAAATGCTCACTATTGACTCTGCCCTCCCACGAAAGGACAGATTTTTCAATGCTGACCTCCTCCCCTCCCAAAACAAAGAAACTGAACTGTTCAATACTGACGCCCTCCCCCGACAGATTCAATTTCTCGCAGCTTTCCGGACCTTGCCCCACCCTACCTTTTAAAGCAAGACTAGGTCTGACTAGGTTGTTCAAGCCGGGCTCCCAAAAAACTAAGAAGAATAATCAAGGAAGAAAAAAAAAATGATTGTTTTTTGGGGAGGGTTTCTTAAGCAATTCGTAGTAACTTTCGTGACATAGTGAAACCCCTAAGCGCGTGCTGCGCCAGATGTCCGGGGTCCGCGCACGACAAGCCGGGCCTTCTGCCTCGGTCTAGCATCCATGGGAGTAAGCATGAACATGCGAACAATTTTAAAGCAATTTGTGTGATTCGGTGTTGGTGTAACGGAAGAAACGCCGAAGATTCACTGTTTAAAGCTTGCTGCAGCTTCCAGGCACAGGCACATGACCTGACGGAGCTAGGGACCCAGCGCGAGCGTCTGAAGCAATGCTCAGTCCGAAAACACAAACTTGGTCCTTGATTCAGGATGCGACCATGCTGGGAACAGTACCTACTGCAGAACATATTTGCGAGTCAACGTGCAGAGCACCATCACACCATCAGCACGCAAACCACATCCAGTCAGCATATTCATGACTGGACACAGGCGCGATTGCGAGCCCTGACCTTCCCGGAATGTGTCCAGATGCTTATAAAAGGACTCAGAGCCACAGGCATGCAAAGCAAAGAAGTGTGGAGCCCAAAACCACACCAACCGCCATGGCCCTGCCGGAACTCGAGAACGAAAGCCGCTGGGCTGCGAGCATCGCCCAGGCAAAGCTCGCACATCCCTGCGGGTTGACCTCTCCCTGCCGCGCAAAGCCAATGGAGGCGGTTCTGGAAGTTTGCTTTCTCAAGGCCATTTGAGTCACAACGTAGCACGCACGACGTGGCACCACAAGCACATGTGTCACACTTGCTCTTGTGCACCAATCCCAGGCGCATAAGACTGCATACCTGTGACGATCTGCACGTATGCAACTGGACGAATGCTCCCTTGCACCCCTAAACCTAAGCACGGGACTTGCAGTGTATGCCGGCGCCCCGAAAACAGAGCCTTCCCACATTGGGAGACCTAGGGGGTGCATAGTTACGAGCAACCTGAACAGCCAAGACCTCCATGTGAGTGATGTTTACGACGAAAGTTTACGACAAAGGGTGACTACCCTTATCTGGCACTTTGCAATCCTCACCTGAGACGTACAAAGAACAGTGACTTCTTACGTCTCCACCGCATCAGCTCATGCAAGCGTGATGCAAGAACCGCAAGCACTTCCCAGAAAGCGTCGATGAGCAGTTGGTTTAGGGTTGAGGGTTTAGCGGGTTTAGTGTCTAGGGTGGTTACAGGCGTTGAGGATGCGCTAAAGGTTATTCTTGAAGGATTTTTTGGGGTTTAGGGAGCATGCAGGCTGTGTGAGGCTTGTCATGTCATGAGCAGGTAGAGGACTTTGTGGGTATGGGGGTTTCCGAAGATAGGGGTACCCTATCTGGGGGCCCCTGGAAGGGGATTCTTTTCCATTTGGGGCATAAAACGGGGTACCCCCCCCCTCCTAGTTTGAGAAACATGCCCAGATGGGATTCTAGAGTTTTTGTATGTTTTAGTACTTAAGGCTCAGGGTGTGAGGCCTGATGGACGTGAGTAATCTAGGCGGAAGAATTACTGTTATTATTATTATTATTATTGTTATTGTTATTACTATTATTATTATTATTATTATTATTGTTATTATTATTATTATTACTGATAGTATTTCCTTATAACCATGCTCCAACTTTATGGAGAAGCCCTACAAAAATGCTGACGAGAAAATGGACCCCAAACGTTCAGAAGAAGCGCGGAACCGACCCACGTCTTTCTCATCAATATGCTGAACTCTAGGAACTGGACCGCAGCAGTCTCGAACTAGAATCGCCTGAGCTGGGCAAAAAGAGTCATTCATGCTGACGCCGGAACGCTACTGGCAACCCAACTTCGCAAAGCTTTGGAACCAAATGCAGCTTCTCAGCAAAGGCTCGTGATTTTTAGGTGCACTTAAAAGAAGACTCCGATTTCACGGTACTGCCTTGGAGATGCACTCGACAGCTTAAGAAGTGTATGGCGTCGCAGGTAACGCGAACACGCAATGCCCATTTTCTATACCGGAGAGGCCCTATGCAGCCCATAGGCATCCGGGGGGGGCTGAAAGGTCCAACGGGTCTCAGTGAGCTGCTTTTACCGTACTTTTGACGGTGACCGAAGTAGGGATCGGAAAGGCATGGTTTAGCCTTGCTAGCGGTGCCCATACTGAGGGTTGACTTTACAAGGCGCAGTATCCCAGCTTCAAGAAAAGTTGTGCAAGTAATTCTCCCCCAAGCATGGGGCCAGACTCTTTCAGTACTTGAGCCGCAGCACGAACTCCCACTTGCCCGAAGGGGATTCGACCCCGATCACCGTGGCCCCGGCGCCGTATCGTAGGGGCCGCCGGTGTCCGAGCCGGAGCTGGAAGAATCCGGCTTGAAGCCCCATGCCTCCATTTCTGCAGCATGCAGTCCACGTTTCTGCCCAAGGAAAACTGCAAGCTGCCAAGGTTGGAAGTGTCGACATCCCCCTTTGCTGAAGCAGGACTCGGCAAAGTGGATCAAGTCGGTTTCCTGCTGCGGCGTCGCATCGCCCCGGTGGTGGCTGTGCACCGTCACGACCACGCGCGACGCACCATTTTCTTGAGAATCCAAGGGCTTCTTCAACATGAACTGCCAGCTACCGGAGGGCGTCTCCACAGTAGACGTCGTAGGGGCCACCAGTGTTCGAGCCCGAGCCAGTAAGCTCCGGCCGCCATCCCCACAGAGTGTCGAGGTTGGTCACCACACAACCGGTGGCAACCCCCAAGGTCCCTTGCCTCGGTGGCTTCGACAGAAAGCACAGTTGCACGGCGTTCCGCGTGAAGCAGTCCTGGGCCACCTTGACAATGTCGCTTTCTTGCCTGGTCCAACAGTCCAACATTGTGCAACTGTCGGGTGGTAGGACTACGGACAATGCAAGGGAGGAGCAATAACGCCGCAAGGTATGTACACGGCAGGTGGCTGAATCCCAACGTCTTCTATGCGATGCACACATTGGAATGGTTGCGTGCACAAGGTGAGGATCAACAGGGCGTCCCGATCTGGGAAGAGCACGCACCCGAAACCCTAAACCCTAAACCCTAAACCCTAAACCCTAAACCAAAAGACACAAAAGAAAACAAGGGCCGAGCTGCGCATCGTCCGCCCAGCCCCGGAGGAGACATCGGGCGGAGATGCCACGCTTGAGGCTCAGGAACTCGTCGGCTGCCTCACTTCTCCCATTACAGGGGTTTCGGGTTTAGGGTTTAGGGTACTTCTCCCATTACAGGGGTTTCGGGTTTAGGGTTTAGGGATGTTGAGGGCCCAAAATTTTTAAGGGTTTAGGGTTTAAGGGTTTTAAGGGTTTAAGGGTTTTAAGGGTTTAAGGGTTAAGGGTTTAGGGTAACCAAAGAAACCCAAAAAGCTTCAAGGTCATACGTTGGCCAAGTAAGCTACTGCGGAGCACAGGAGCACAAGGAGGGTCTTCCGCATCATGGCGCGAAAGTGGCGATGCGGGTGGGGCCTGACCCTGGCGGAACTTTGAGTCTGATTCTCAACACTTCATGGCAAAGGCAGAGAATAACAAAAAGCCTACATGCTGCCCCTCATAGCACGGTTATGAGCAAAGCAAAGCAACCGACAATCAGCCCCACATGCAAATCGAACCTGCAGGCCTGAAGACCAACCAGAAGGCCGCCAAAAAACCTTGTAGCCCTCCACGCTCCCCCACGTACGCACCCAAACCCAACTGGGCACCCGCTCCTTCTTGACAGATGACTGCGGAGATCAGACCTGGTTGTGAAGTGGTACAGGATCACGATGGAAGGAAGCCACAGAATGTCATGGGCCAAAAGATGGCCCACGGCGAAACCAAGCACACTTTCCATTGGAGCGTTGGCTCTCCACAAGGCTACGAAGCCCTCCAGACTCAGGCAGAAGATCGGGCTCAAGCTCAACCAGACATAGGCAAAGGGCATGCTGCCACCCGCCCGCATCAACCTCACCACTTCCTGGTGAAAGGGCCCCTGTACATGTGGGCAAAGGCGGCCAAACTGCCATACCACTGGATGATGGCATCGTGTATACACTGTCTGTCGAAATCGCTTCTGCACTCCACTTTCAAAACATCAAACGTGGCCAAATCAGAGTCCAGCTTGTCACGGTCCAGCTTCTGTTTGCACGCCACTTGTGCCAAGGACGGGAAGACAACACAAAACGCGCACAAAAAGACAGCTAAAAGGCGCACTCCACCGCCTCCTTCAGGACCCCTTCTGGAAAACCAAAACGTGAAGGTAAACAGGTTCACCCACAAGAAGCTTTTGCACGCCAACAGCTCTCTGAAAATTGGCGCGATGACAATGGTTCCGGATGGGTTCATCTTGCGGTAAGCTGCAAGTTCGAAGACGCACCACCTTGGCACCAGAGGGGGCTGGGTGATCTACAGAACTGAGCCACTGGTTTTCGTTGAAGTGTTGCGTTTCGACTATCAAGAAACCTCTCATAAATGAGCAGGAAACCCAGTTTTTAATGTCTGATGAGTTCTTGGGAACACCCGGGTATTTCATCCCCAAGGGCAGAGACAATAGCACACATTGCCGGTTTAGGGTTTAGGTTTAGGGCTTATGGGGCACAACACCTTCGTATTACATTCCGAAGGACAAACATGCGGAGACAAAGGCACACAGTGATGATTTAGTGTTCAGGTTTAGGTTTTAGGGTCTAGGGTACAACTGCAAAACTGGATGCAGCGCTCCAAACAAAGCCACAACCTCGAAAGGTACGGCGCGCTCCACAGCACCCGCAATTCCGCCGAGGCAGCCAGGAAATGTCCGATGCATCGGATCCCCTGTTGCATTTCGTCGGTGTCTGTCTGATTGATGCACACGAAGTCCAAGAAACATGTGTCTGATCCGTGCAGGCGCGGGAGATATGGAAAGACCATCAGCCCAGCAATGGGGGCCATGAGGCCGGTCAGCATGATCCAGCATCCATAGGGAACTTGGCCATGAAATTCAATGGCGTGGACCTCAAAGCTCGTGCATGCCGGCAACACGCCCATGAAGCTGAGTATGAAGGAGAGACTGATCCCGAGAGCCCATGCAATCAACATAGTTGGCCAACCAAAGTGGATCAGTAGAGACATCATCTTCCACTTCCCATGTGTCCACCACGTGTGCGACAAGAACTTGTCAGAGCCAACCCCCCTGCCTTAGCGTGCTTCGCAAGGAGACGCCTCGCATCAACTCAGGCCGAAAGAGGCTTCTTTGCGTGAGGATGGCTGTCGTCGCTTCAAGATCTTCAAGGCTTGAAGTGCCTGAGGAGCTGGGAATGACTACCTGAGCGCCGGCGTTTGTGCTGTCGGGGCCAATCATACCCGTGGGGATCTGGCTACTCTGTGCAAGGTGATCGATGGCCTCTTCATCTGAAGAGCAGATCCTCAAGTCCTCCTCGGGTTCCATTCGACAGCAACACGACGAAGGAGGGAACCTTTCCATTTCGATTCCACTGCGGGCCGCCAGCACGCCAGGACAACACGGCAGACATAACTGACAAGCCTGATGCTGGTTGGGCCAAACAGGCAGCTTGTGTCAGTAGCGAAAGCGCATCAACAGACCCGAAGCTCACAACATCAAAGGGTTGCATAATAAAATATTTAGCTGGAGCATAACTGCAAGAACAGTGCACTCACCTGTTGCCTGCTGCATATGTTCAGAATGGCTTTTGCAACTACTTCATCCTGTCGACTTGAAGCTGACCCAGTCCCAGCCTTCCAGCAGGGTTCGCTACATCGCAGAAGCCTGCGCCCACAAATGCAGGAAGGCAACGCCATCTGACGAATGTGGGGCAAGGGTTTGGAGGACTTACTGTAGGGATTTGGGGGAGTCAGAGGCAGCGAGATAATTTGAACAGGGTGTCCTACCTCTTTTATTGCTGCTGAAACCACCCTTGGAAGCCGGCGCCCGCAGACCTTGACGACAAAGCAGTGTATACCCAACTCTGCGACTTGACCCAGCAAACTTACATCCAAAACACTGAACGATTGCAAGGGATTCCAGTGAAATGCCGCTGCACACCCGTCTTCGAACACCTCCTTCTTGGTTTCATGTTTTGAATGTTTACCCAAACTCACAAACACTCTGAACCCCGAACCCTAAACCTCTCAATGGACAAGGCTCGAGATGCCTCCCGCGAAGTTGGGTGCCCAATGAAAGGACGCGGGCGCCGTGGCTTTCTGCATTTGAGATTCGGAAGCTGATTCCTGCTTGCGGCTGCTTGATCTAGTCTCTATAACTTAGCTCTTACGAGCGTGAGATGTGTGGCTCAATGTGAAGGCTCCAAAGTGCCTGGCACCTTGTCCTCTGGTACAGGCAAACCGATGGGCTCAACCGCGGAAAGCCAGAAGGGCAATGCGCGAAACTTGTCTGCAGTTGTTGCTACGCCTGACATGGTCCTCCCTAAACCCTAAACCCTAAACCCTAAACCCTAAACCCTAAACCCTAAACCCTAAACCCTGAACATCAGCACCCCCCAAAGGCGCAGCAGGAAGCGCTGGCTTGCGGAGGAGCTTGCGCACGTTGACCCGTTGACCCGTTGCCCCACTGAACCCGATCAGATCCGATCAGGGGCTCACCTTAAGGACTGCATGAAACCCTAAAAGGGTTTGTGGCTCATATACCGTAATAGGGGTTCTAAAAATAGTATGGGGTATGTGGTCCCAATGTTAGGGTTCATTTGGTCCCCCAAGGACAGGTTCTTAACTTCCCAGATGCCCAGCACTCGAAACTAGTCCTCAACCCTGAAACCCGTGCCCTATTGAAATTGGGACACCATATTCAAGTTTCTCGTGGTTTAAGGTTTACACCGCTGAGGTTTCTTTACAACTTTTCAAGGGCCTGGTGCAGAGCCTGGGTCGATAGAGCTTGAGGTTTTGGGTGTTCTTTTTTTGGTGGGGGCATCGGACTCTTACGTTTTGGGCGGGGGGAGGGGGGGCACAGCTCAAGGTTTAGATTTAAGGTTTATGTAGGGTTCAGACAGCTTTGAACTGGACATCCTAATCTCGACCACTACCGCCGCACACCCCGAAGGGAAGGGCCAACTCGCTTCCCATCATCAGTCAGTGTTGGTTTAGTGTGGCCCTGTTTTCCTCCACACGCAGGCCCGGCAAGGTCACCCAGAAGTCAGTCGATGCTGCCTAAGTCAAGAATGGCACCGCTTGCATAGAAGTCGCGCGATGCTGCCTAAGTTACGAAAGGCACCACTTGCATCTCTGTGTCTGAACATATACGCAAGGGCTGAAGTCATAACGAGGGAATGCAGTGTGCCAGCCCCGGAAGCAACGGCACCAGCCGCACGAAAGGAACCGTCCCAAAAACCCCACGGAGAAAAACAATCTTACACCCCTCCCTAAACCCTTAAACTTCCCTAAACCCTAAACCCTAAACCCTAAACCCTAAACCCTAAACCCTGCTGCCGCGGGGCTTCGACGGCAGCCTTCTTGTTGGCAGGAGCTGACCTGGTTTAGGGTTTAGGGCAGAAGGGGTCGGAATAATTCTAATAGTACTCCCTTAGGGTCCCTTTTATTGAATGTACTATAATAACCCCCAAGGGGGGGAGGCATGGAGGGTGTCCTCAGTTGGTGGCCACCACAACGACCCAGCATTTTGGTGCTTCCAGATTGCAGTCGCCTTGTCGGTGTTGGTCGAGGTTTTGCTGCAGGTCCAAAGTTTGAAGAACGGCTAAACGTAGTAAAGTTCAAAAATCCAGCTTGGGTCTATTGGAATATTTGGGATTGATTGGAAGTCTCCGATCCGGATTGGCACAAAGATCGCCAGAGACCGAGGTCTGGCAAGTGCTGCGTGTGCTTTGGCCGTGAACCGACTACAAGATCACAGCCGCACCCTGAGATATGGTAAAGAGCGAAGGTCTCAGTGCAGAGTGCAGAGTGCAGAGTGAGGGTGTGGCTCGCACATGCAGACAGGTCGTCGGCCAGGGGTTGTCGGGAACACTGAACTTTGGACAATGTGCCCTGCACGTCCGTTGCTCCTGGGATGAATTTTGCCTGAGATGGCAGGTTCCATGCGTGCCTTGACCTTGCAATTCCTCCAGGCGCACGCAATCGATGTAGATCTTAAGGGGTGCAGGTTGAAACAGAAGCAGCCAGCTTCAGGTAAGACCAGAACAGTAATTAGCAGTTTGGAAAGCTGCAGACAGGTTGGAAAAGCTAGTGCTGGCATGAGACTCTTATGCGACGAGCGCTTTGCTTGGTCCGCTGCCTTTCTCTTTTCCTCCATATTGGCGGCCGAAAAGATGCAATTCGAAGCCAAGAAAGGGTCGAAAACATTAAGAATCAGGAAAACAAAGCCACGATCGAAAGTGAACGGTAGGGAAATCTGCCACCCACTGGTCTCAAAGGTCTTCCGTGTCTAACATCAAAGTACCTATGACTCCATCCGGCGACGTTTCGCCCTACAGCTGGGTTGGTTACAGTGCATTTATGCAGGTGTGGCAATTTTTGTTTGGGTTTCTTGGGCATTTCCCGAAAGCCCCTTGTGAACCCGGCACGCACGCGTTTAAGTGCCACGTTTGTAAACTTTTTTGGCTGTTGAAAGTACAAGCTCTGCATACCTGCTATATGGTGCCGGGTGGATGGCTCTAAGAGTCCAAAATGCATGTAAGAAATTTGCGTCTGAAAACGCACGGCAACCTGCAGCCCAAAAAGTCGATGTGGGAAGCGGAAAAGCCCAAACCAATCCAGGTGTAAAAAGAGTGTGACTCACACGCCAGTATAAGCTCCAAATTGGGACCAGCGCCTTAAAGTCTCCAAGCCCCCCCCCCTTCCGGCCCTATGGATCATCTGCCAGCGAATCTCATCTCCTTGGGGCTACAGGAATTCACATGCCATGAAATCTTCACTGGTTGGATATGGGAAATGCAGTCCCCCGTCTAAAGCATTCGTACTTACGCTGGCAACGCTTTCCCACCATGGCAGTCGAAACTTGAAAGAAGCTTTGGCCCTGGACGGCGTCACAGAGTGCTCCCTGCAAAAGAAGAAGCATAAACAAGAGCCGATTCAAGCGAGTAAGGTTGTGTTTCACCCCTGGTCTCTTACCTCTGGTGCCACAAGCCAGAAGATGCATCAGCCAAAAAAGGGGCATGGATTCCATGTAGAAATCCTTGTTGCGAGTCATGAGAAGCACGCAGTGTGCATCCAGTTTGAGAAGTTAGGACTACGGGACTAAGGGTCCTGAAAAGTCTCCCGCCTGCCGGTCCTGCCAGGGGTCCAGGACCTCTGCCTTGTTGGTCCTCAGAGCTGGGCTCGGAGATGGTACTGAGCATTGGGTAAATCTCGGAAATCTTGAGGGTGCGCTTGTGGGTATTTGGGGCTAAGCGCAGGCCTGTTGCCATGATGTGTGTGTTCGCTATGCGACCCAAGCAGGCTCTGCTGCTCGGCACCATCGTGCCAACGTCACAGCCAGACTCAACCCCATATAGTCCAAAACCGGCATCTTTCAGCTTCCGACCCATCGAAGCGCCATGGCAAGCGAGATCAGTATGCGTACGGTCCGTGAGTAGCTGTGCTGCTTTCCAGTAGACGCACTAGAATCTACTAGAAACAGAGATGTATTGACGAGAAGTTCGGCAACATGTTCCATTGCTGCAAGCTTGTGTGATACCACGACTAATTACATGATCAGCTGCAATCCTACAGCATTTTGCGTTGGACAAAATCGGAGCTCCGAACTGATCTTAGTCTGAAGGTGGCGTGCCTGCTCAAGCCAGTTTTTCCGGGTCAGTCTACTAAGTGGCAATCCACAAAATGCACTGCTTTTCCTGCGATTGGCGCGACGTCGCTGTGCCCGAGCTTTATTGGTGAAATGCTGTTGGAATGCACCATTAAGCCTCCAATGACTCCAATGCCGTACAAAAGCATGCAAGCGGAGAATAGTAATTGAACTCCGGTGGGCCCTTTGCGTCCACTTGAAGTGGGCTGTAAAAAGGCGTTCCTTTAAAAAGTTCTTGGACAGGCATTCACTTCGTCTCAGGAAAACAATGTGTGAGAACGCAAGCAAACACGATGCGACAACACTCAAGAGGGATTGCTCCTGCAGCAAGGTGCGGCAGGCTGGCAGGTAGCCAAAGCTGTCCACTGCTGGAGGCAAAATGCTCACTGCGACGCGTGCGCAACCACCCAAACACTTTATCATCTTTAAGTCAGACTGCGTTTGTTTTCATGCATGTACAGCGCTGTTTGCTGACCTGACCAGTCTGAGCACACTTTGTAAGTCTGTCTGCACAGCCATCAGGCACCTCGACATATGCCTTGATATGTGCTTAGAGGCATTGTATCGGTTCCTCAAGTCCAGAACTCTGCGTCTTCCAAGGACTCCAGGCTCGCAGGTGTCAGCTCGCCGCTGGCGAGCCGAACCTGGCCATTGAAGACATCGTCCAAGGCCTCCGGAGGGGATGCCCAGACTTCACTGAACTTCGCTGCGGTGGGCTGACAGCTTTACTGGGGGAAGCATGGTTTCAGAGCTTGATTACAAACCCCCTTGTGCACTTGCTCCACACCAGAACTCTGCCCTTGCAGCATTCCTCAAAGGGCCTGCATCTGCCCTTAAGTGATTGGGACAGTGAATACATGCAGGCTCTAAGAACCTCCTCGAGCTGTGGATGGCAACCTGTCAGCATCGTTCGGACGCTTCGCGTTTCCTCTAACCTCAGTTTCGAGCGTGTGGTACATTGTGGCACTGACGCATGACCGCCAACTTTGAGAGTGCGTGCCATATACTCCCGTTGCTTGCAAGTGGCAGGGTGCGGAATTTTTCAATGTCCTCCGGAGAGGCCAATGTCCCCCACTGAAGCTTCCGTAGCTCGTGCAAGCGCTTGCCGAGGCAAACCCTCAGTTCTGCTTGCACAAATTTGGCGAACTTGCACCCAAGTATCAGGACGCGTCTCTCGAGTTGTGCTCCAGAGACTCGAGCCTACTCCCCGCAGACATTCCCCCAAGCTACTGTTACTGCGGCGTCTTGCACTCCACAACAAGCCCACGCTGCAAGACGGCAAGATCCTAATAACCCTCAAACTCTGACCACAAAGCACGCCGAGTGTCCGATTGGCTTTTGGGTTGCTTTCCACACTCGGGAATGTGGCATCCAGGCCCCGAAGTATGTCCGCCACCTCGTTACCAAACTCCTTTGCAATGACTCCTTAGAGGCATCGGAAGGCGACGAGGCTTTGGATCCCCCCTTACCCCCCCCCTCCCCCCCCTTACCCCCCCCCCCCCCACCCCCCCCCCACCCCCCGTAGGTTGGGATGGGTAGCGTGAGTGCATCCGAAAGGGTACATGAATAGAATTCCAGAGCTACAGCAACCCTAGTATCTTCCATCTTGTTACTAAGGGCTTTTGCCAGGACAGAAAATGAGCTAGAGAACGTGCATAATTAGGGAAAAGCCCGTAAAAAATGCAATGAAATTAGTGATTGCAAAATATTTGATCTCATGCGAACGGCATATTCATTCATTCGCTCACTTATGATGATAGTAGAGAAACGGCAAGATTCTCTGGTCCTAGAAGTATTAGAATTAACCCGTGCAGTCTATTGGTCCGGTCAATCATGCGCTCGCACATCCAGATCGACCGCGTCACTGGGCCAGTAAGAATACCGCATGAACAAATACATGTAAATGCACGAAATGAACGAATTTTGTGCTCTGGATAGACTGGGGGTCTGCCAGCAACGGGTGTATCATGTGGATGTCAACCCCTGGACACTTCCGCAAGATCCTCAACCACTCAGCCCTGACCCAGCCCCGCCCTCCAGCGGAAAATGATGGAACATGGAACAAGCGTTGCAATTGCTGAGTGCTGAGAACTGGACGGTCGTGACCGTTGGCGGTTCCGAGGAGAAGCCCCGCCTCGACTGCTTGCTGCTAACGCTGCTAGACGGCGGAGTGACCCAGAGAGTATGGTTGTTGGGTATACCTAATTCCATAATAGTACTACAAATGGACCCTCTGGCTGAGATATGACGGTGCTCATGGATGCCCGTGGGGCTAAATTTCTGATTCTGACATCTCTGTTCGTAATTCAAGTGCAAAGGGCAACTCAAGTGCAAGGTCGTCAAGGTCAGGCTGCTGCTATTATCCGCCAGTGGCTCTAGTTGCGGCTGGCCCTGCTTGCCTTCAGCGTCTCCGGATCCTTTATGCCGTACTCGGTGAGCAACAACGCAAACTTCACGCTGTCAATGAGCTGGGAGCCATTTCGACTTGCGACCTCTGTTTGGACTCTATGACGCCTTGACTGAGCTACTCGGTCACTCCCTCAATTCCCTCAAATTTCACGATTTCTGCTCTCTGTCAACAATACATGCAAGAGTTGGTTAGATTGCCAAGTCGCATATTCTGCCGCCTTGAGAAGCGACAGAACTGCTCGCTGCTCATCTAACTCTGGTGTGTGAGCTTGTTCAGAGACCTTGGGCTCGATCCAGCTCGCACAGAGTTCTTGGGATTCAGCTTAGCATTGAAATGTCTGCCCGACGAAGCTCCGCCAGTTCATCCCGCTGCATGTCTTACGAAATCAAGAAATGATGCAGCCAACAAGAACCAAAACGTTTTCTGACTCTCTCTACGTACAACACTTGATGTAGTCGCTTGAGCATTCCACAAAGCGACTAACCCATAGGGATCATGCCTTTCCTGCCTCAAGATCACGCGACGCCTGATCATGCTTAATTAAATGCCTTCTTGCAGCTGCGGCACCGCGTTGTCATCCACATGCACGTGCTCCCAATCTTCCAAGTGCCTACTGAAAGTCGGGCACACAGGCGGTCTTTGCAGCCGTTCCCCGATGATTGCAGGTTCATGCTTACTCACCTCTTCATGTCCAACCCCCCCCCCCCCCCCCGAGCATGGCAAGGTGGGAGCTGCGGGCCTCATCTGTTCTTGAGCGAATCGTTCCCAGTCACCCAGCTCGTAGCCAGCAGGGAGTGAAACTTCCGCATGGAATCGTTCCTCCAAAGCCTCGGAGACATCACAGAAACACAGCATAGCACTGGGAGGAGATCAAATGGGGGGAGGGGATCATTCAAGGCGAGAGGAACTGTGTGTGTCCCTTCCAGAGCGGCCACCATCTCGCAGGCCTCAGCTCTTCAACATATCTATGTATACATATATATACATATATCTTATGCATGTATTCTCTGTATATATGTGTATGACTGTAAATATGAATGTGTGCACAAAAGTATATACATATACATATACATATGCATACATACATACATACATATATATATATATTTTTATATTACATATACATATTCATGGTTCATACGAGTATATCGCAGGGCGTTTCAAGACAAGGCCGAGCGATGCCTAGTTACATGGAAACTACCGTCATGGCGGCTTGTCTTAAACGGCAGCCGCTGCCAAGCTGCCCAGGCGATGTACCTCTCCGTGCGCTCCTTGCAGGCACGAACTCCCGTATTCGCGACTGCTTCACATGGCAGCCTCAAAATCTAACAGGATGCAGAGTTTTTGATTCGCAGCCAGGTGCCTTGTTGAGCGCAAGCCCCTGCCCGAATTAAACCCGCCCATTCTAATCCTTTCCAGGCAGGCAGCCGGTGGGCGGGCAGAAAGGAAAAGACAACAACAATCAAATCCTGTGGCAAGATAGCCCCCTAAGTGCTCTCCTTGGGCCAGGACGGAATGCCGTGATGCACCAGATCCTGAAGCTGGTCATGAGGAAGCTTGAATGGCTGGAAAGTGTGTATTGTTGTTCAACATGGCGCTTGAGGCAAAAGCATCTGCACGGCTTCTGCCGAAAACTCAACAATTCTCGCCCTGGCTGTTGCCCGGGTTTCTTGTGATCCACTGAAAATTTCGCTGCCCAAGATCCCACACGTTGTGTAGCTTGTCTGCAATGCGCACGAGCTTCGCCTGAGAGGTTTGCAAACTTGCCGTGTGCAGGCGAATGTCACGCAGAAGGACATATATGGCCCACTCACGCTACATGTGGAATGGCGCATCATGGTGCCATGCAGCTTGGAGACTTCAAAAGTTCCAGACCCTTTTGAATCCCTGAACAGCACCATCAAAGAGGTGCTCATTTCCGCAAGAGAACACCTAAACCCTAGACTCTAAAACCCTAAACCCTATATATACATACCCTAAACCCTATATACCCTAAACCCTCTAAACCCTAAACCCTAAACAGACCCAACGGGGCAGCCTTGGGTGGCAAGTTCCCAGCACTCCGGAGCTGGACAAGCTTCTTGTGGACTGGTCGCAGGCTGTCCTTGGGCTTTTCAGAGTAACAGGGTTTAGGGTTTAGGGTTTAGGGTTTAGGGTTTAGGGTTTCTTTCCCTCCTGCACAGCTGGGGCGAGTCCGCATCGCAGGGCGACTTCGAGTTCGATGTCTTAACAGGGTTTAGGGTTGAGGGTTTCGACTCTCAAGCGCACACGCAGGCAAGGTTTCGGGTAGTCTGTCATCAGAAAAAGACTCGTTGGTCCTGGTAACTCAAGCGCGGTCCGTAGAACTCGTGGTTTGGGTTTAGGGTTTAATTACGAACCGCATTCCCTGATGGTCCCTTAAAATTTGTACCATAATAACCCTCAAAGCCCCATTCCATTTGTTTAGCCCTAGAATGCCCTAGAGTAGTTCTTCTGGCGCTTCCTTCTGGGAACCCCAGAGCCAAGTCTTCCCTTCGGACGCTGCCTTAACTTCTGGGGCCAGAGGTGGTGCAGGATGCCCCCTAGGGTTTGTGCCGCCTAGCAGTCTCGCAGCCCTTCTAGGGTTTAGGGTTTAGAGTTTAGGGTTAGGGCTTAGGGTGTCACAACCGGGGATCAGGAGAATGGGAGGGGACGTGTCGCATCATGGCCCACGGCCTCTTCTGACATCCAACTGAGGTGTCTCGATACCGGATCCTTTCTAAGGCCCTGGTTTCGTGAGACAGGTCACGTCATCAGTGAGTGAATCCACGAGCTCCCGCACCTCTTTCCAGGTAGATTGCGCTGTCCCCAGCACTTTGTCCCTCTTGTTCTCCTACTTCTATGTGCATCTTGGAAATCACTAGCCCAGCGCTTGCAAGTATCGCCCTCAGAAAACCCTCTTCCGGCGACCACACCTGGCTACTGTACGATGTATGATCAGAGGCGCAACGGCTCACAGTTTCTGCCCCCTGCAACCACTTCGCACACGATCCCTGGAGCTCAGTGGCCCACCTGCTCGCCAAACGTGGCACTGAGTTCGGCGGCGCTAGTGTCGGTGTCCTGGCAACAGGTTCTTGGATGATTCTTAAGTCTTAAGGTTAGGCAGCGGTGGCTTGAGGACTTCGAATATTCTAATCATGCATCAGGCGAGCAGAATTCAGGATGAATCGCTCTGCACTCAGCTCTTCCGAGGCTTTCCCTGCCAAAACAAACGACATGCGACTCCATGGGGTGGTTGTCATCGTTTGGCCACTTCATCACACTGCACGACAAGCCTGTGTCTGTCCAAGCGAGGCTGCCCACCGCGTGAAGAATGTCTTGAAAGGCTAGAATGTAGGACACATGCCAGAAGGAAAGACGAGAGACGCCTACCTGGAACTTTGGCGAATGTATATAATGCAGGTCTGAGCCCACATATAGAACACCGGCATCAGCTACTGCGTCGACTGTATAGCCATCCACCTATGTCTGCCTTCGCATTCTCTGCTTCGTACAAAAGAGAGAGAGAGAGAGAGAGAGCCCGAGAGAGACTGAAAGTGATCGTCCGTTATATGAAACTGCGAATCCATTCGCTGTCTGTTTTTCGTTCATTGTATTTCATTTCATTTCATTTCACTTCACTTCATTTCGTTCCACTTCATTTCATTTCATTTCATGTCACTTCATTCCATTTCACTTCACTCCATTTCGCTTCATTTCATTTCACTCATTCATTCATTCATTCCTTTCTTTCTTTCATTCATTCATTTCATGCATTCATTCACTCTCTCTTTTCTTTTGCTGTCTTTACTTCTTTCTTTTTCTTTCTCTCCTATCTCTCTCTCTCTCTCTCTGTCTCCCGGTCCCCCTCTGTGGGCATGCATTCAGGCACATGTACCAAATACATGTGAGCATACGTATATATAGATTCATATACATAATATACTGTCTGCATTTGCATGTACACATGTCTACAATCTACATTTTTGCCAAGTACATTGCAGCGAAGTCCGAAGGTGTTTACAGCCATTGTAGCAGCTGAACACATGCGCATCTGGTCCTCCAACGTGTCATGCAGCAGTGCCGCCTGCAGTGTGGGCAGGTCGCGGATGCCCACTTCAGCGAGGATGCGGGCGACGGCCAGTGGGTGATTGATGTAAGGGGTCTTCTGGGGGTTCTTGCGGGTTTGGTGCTTGTGTTTCGTGGCGGCAAAGGCAATGGTGTGGAACAGGGTGCTCATGGGTTTTGGCTGCGAGGATCCCGAAGCGGGAAGAATGGCCGGAGGCTCGGGCAAAGGCTCTGCTGGCTCCCCGCCACGAGCTTGCTGCAACACGCCAGAAACACCGGACCAGCCCACTTCGCCCATCGACTCGATGTCCTCTGAGACTTGGCAGGAGGAGGTGTCTTCGCCCCGCAGCTGTTGACAAACAGATGTCACCTGTGGCTCATCGAAGTTATTGTTGACTTGGATGAACGAGTCGGTGTATGGCAGGAGCTTCTGGAGAGCTCGAGGAAGCTTTTCAAGAGAATCGGCGACCTCTGCAGGGCTCACAGCCCGACCATTGTGTCCACGTTCGACAGCTCTCTGATAAACCGTTTCTTCACAGGCGTGGATGTACATAAGGACGACGGTCACGTCGTCAAGCTTCTCCCGAATCTTCTGCAGCACTCGGGAGTACCACTTGCCTCAATAAAGCAAGCAAATAAATGAGCTGTAGAATATGAGGAAAGCACGTGTTACACCAAACCGTCGAAACAACAAAATCGTGCTATGCGTAAGAACTTGTGCCATGCCGTAAAGAGCTGTCCACCAAGATGTTGCGCCTCTGTTGGAGCGCATATAGCAAGGTCAGCTCACTGAGGTAGCCAGCCTCCAACCGAGTCATAACTGCGGCACTGGAGTGATCGTATGCATCATATCCTTGGTTTTGCTGTGCTGTACTTGACGCCGGCAGCAGCAGACCATATCCGAAGGCCACTTAGCCGCTAGCCGAGTCGCTATCTTTCCCGTCACTGCTGCATTCCCAATAATTCGGTTTAAGACCCCAATAAGGCACCCCTAATTTTCGTAAACCCCCCATATTCGCTTTCCTAGGCTGTCTCAGACCGCTGAACAGTAACCCAGGCTCCTACCCACTCTGGCAGCTGCTTGGCGAGCTTGTCCGGGTTGATCTTCACAAAATCCGCAACCGATAAGATGCCGTTGTCCCTGAGCCAGTTTATCACAAAGGTCTTGCCCACGCCCATGGCTCCGGCGGTAAACCTTGCACGAAGCAGTTGTGATATGAGTGAACCATATTTCGTGCTGCTACTGTATTTCAGTGAACTTTCCACTGACCAACCTCAACCAGGGGGCAGCAGCATTGGTGCTTGTCGTGGCCGGCCGTTGTTTTCCACAAGGTGGGTGACCAAGTCATCCTGAAACCGCTGCCGTTCACGGGTGTAATACCCATGGTAGGCGCTGTCGACGAGTTTGCGGGCTCCTGCTCTCCCTCAACATTCTTAAGACAACAAAGTATGGGGAGACCGCAGGCCCTGATGGGTGCACATCTACACCAAGTGTCTGCAGAACAACGGCATGGATCATCACACTTTCGCATCCTGGCTTCTGTAACTGACACGATCGTGGACACCAAATATGTAATGCACAGTAAGCCCGCAAAGCATGGCCTTCCAACTTGCCAGGGATGATCACCGGCTCGCTCTCTGCATAGTTCTGCTGAGTGCATATGTCCCAATTATAGTTGGGCGGGAGGTTGCACCAAGCTCGCTGCACTGCCTCGCAAGCACAAGTTCCGGCAACTAGAATTAGAAGTGAAGGGATTCAGGGCGAGGAGGGGAGAATCTCGAGTTGAAGCCTGGCTACGTCTGGCTGCGAACAAGTGCGCGCGCTCTTTTCGCCTGGGCGATTCCGATGGGAAGATAGCAAAAGCCCGAGGCCACCCAAACCCAACAAAACCCTCCCCACCTGATACATCGTCACTCGCCGAGGTCGTCGCAGCGCGCGACGTCGCGCAGCTAGCACGCCTGCGGTGAATGGCAATGCCATGATTGCCTGGAAGCTGGGCGGTGAGAGTGTTGACGGTTGAGGGGAGGGCCTTCCTTTATAAGCGCTTCTCAGGGCAGGGTGAGGGATGTGCGTTACGATCGCCCGTCCCTAAAGAATGCCTCATAGAACACCGCATGCCGCGTTCACAGCATGAAAACTATTGATTGTTGTTGGGGAAGTGCCACGCTGCACGATGCTGCGCGTACACACACACACACACAAATGCACAGCCATTGGGCGCCTTCTCCAAACATGATGGGGCGATGACGCATCGCGTTATTGACAGAGCCAATGCCGAATGATCCCACTGCAAAGCACCAAGAAACAACAAACTCATCACCCGAGATGCGTATCTCTCCATCTCGTGTGGCACCGCTTTGTAGCATGATGCTTCTTCTTCGATGCGCAGCTGTCGCCTCAAGCACTGCGCAAGCACGCTCCAAATCCAAATGGTGCCTTATTCAGTCCACTGACGATCCGCAAAATGCCTGCATGAGAACAACTTCTCTATAATTGTCGTACAAGTATAGCCCTGCCACTTGGTTGCTTGTCCTTGAGCCTGGTTGCACCCTTGTTTACTGTGTATACCAAACCTCCTTAGAAGTTGGGCATAACCAGTTCCTCTCTCTAGCCCCGCCCACCTTTTGCTGCATGGACGAAATGATGACGAGATGCTCCAAGCGCCAGCGTGCGACGGGACTGCTGCTGGCCGGCGCAGGCGCTGCAATCCATGTCTCCATTACTTACACCTCTATGGAGAATCTCGTGTTGGATTCTTCTTGGGAACTTTCTCTTGGCGCCATACCTCCTGGCGCTGGATGATGTGGGAGCATGCCAAGAGCGAAAATACTGAACTGGAATGCCCCTGTGACTCGGACTCATGTTTGTCAGGCTTGACGAACTGTTGGCGGCACTTTCTTGACACACACGCACCTTCTGGAGAGACTGGCATTTGCCGGCAGTTCAAGCAACTGGAATGTGCATATGCCAAGGAAGACATGTGGCTACAGGGCTTGCCACTTGTGACACTGAAGGATTAAGGTTGCGCACAAACAGTCTTCCGACAGTTCCTGGTGTGATTTTTTCCACTCGATCGATGGACTCAATTCGGGACCAGTCGGGATCGTTGGCCCCCGGTCCTAGTAGAAGCACACAGCTTTGCGCAATCAAGCCCTGCTGTAGGCAATGCGACTGGAAGTGCACTTTACGGCAAAGATTGCGCTAGGGGTGTGGCCGGTCTTTGGCAACACCTGCCATGTCAATGGCAACAGTTCCGATCCTTGGTAGCCATGCGTGTCATAGCCACTCGGTTCATTCATCGTGGTCTGCTTCTCAGCTGAACACGACAGGCTCGATCCACACACTCCATTTACATAACTAGGATGGACTCGGTTTGGGTTGACTTGCCGCCTCTCTAATGTCCCAATGGTACATGGTCATTCCACGCAATTTTCCGCAGTCCCACAAGGAGACGTTCAGAGACATTTACGTCTGGCGCATACCATCGCATGCCTTCCAGGAAGCGCGGTGCAGTGCAAGGAGCCCTTGCTCCTTACACATCATGAACGCGCGACAGCGATAACTGCCGCACGAGACCGCCCCAATTAGGCGCATCGACGTGCGGAATGCTGATCAAAAGCAGCCAGGCAAAAGCAGAAACTGTGTGTGGAGCCCAGGACCAGCACTATGCCTCAACAGAGCATTGGGTTACCAAGTACTCCTCAGCTAGACTCGCCCTCCACTTTGTCAGAGTGGTATCCGCTTGCAATCTTGGCGTCAAGCTCGACCCGCATACTGTCCTTGATGTAGTTGTCGGGAAGGTCAACTCTCTTCATGACCCGGATGCCAGCACCGGTGATTGCCTCATACTTCTCATTGCTCATGGAACACAGAAGATCAATGCGTCGGATCCCCATCCAGTTCAAAGCATCCGGCATCATGGTCTGGAATCGAGCATCTCGTATGCCTGCGATGGCCTCGGTGTGGTGGAAGTACATCTCTGGGCGGTCACCACCGTCTTGATTCACACGGGCGTTGTACACCCGGAACTTGATCACCTCACCAAGGCTTCGTCCCTCTTTCCTGAAGTAGATGACGACACCGACCCCGCCCCGTTGAGCACACTCGACAGCCTCACGCAATGCAAAAATCAGGTAGGGCCGGCAGCTGCAAATGTCACTCCCGAAGACATCGGAACCTATGCACTCGTCATGAACACGTACGCAAACCTCCGTCTTTTCATCCTTCAGCTTTCGTGCGTCACCGAAAGTGTAAATGGTGAGGCCGCCCACGGCTGGAAGGTAGGTTTTCACCTTGGGATCCAGTAGCCGGCTGTCATGGGAGAACTTATGCAGTGCCTCTCGCAGCTCCTGCTCGCTGAGGCCCACCCTGTCTGCCATGAGAGGAATATTCCAGGCATAGCTGATTGCACACTTCGACGTAACGATCTCGTTCGACGGTAACACAATCTCCCCGTCCATGCGCAAGTTCTTGAGCTCTGGAATGTCCAGCTTGGCTTTGCAAGCAGCAATGGTGGGAGGATGAGCCGTCATGCCCAAGGGGTCAAAGGTTGAGATGCGATCCCAATCCTTTCGGGTCGCCGGATCATCAATGAGCTCCTTGAACTCTGGCAAGTAGAACTCAGCTTCTGTTCGTGTCTTGTACCACTCCTTCAAGTCGACACCAGCTTTAGCCTCAGAGATGCCCCAGTAGGCAGCATGGTCCCAACCATAGCATCCTGCATAGGTGCCCGCCTCGAGGTCATCATGAACCTCCCTCCAGCTGTAGCCTGTTGCCGGATCATTGCGGCAGATCTGTGGAACCAAGCTCTGATGGCGAGGCGTGTTGCATCCACAGGCTCCGCGCTCATCTCTCCGAGACAACGGGCACAGATGTGCGGACAACCGCGCTGCACGCCGGTGTGGTCGGTTTGGCTGCGACATGTCCGCACAAGAACGGATTGAGAGTTGACAAGTTGGCCTCAAGGAAAGTTGCCTGAACCTTGTGCCGAAACGGCTCTCCCATCCAAGTCCTGTCGCTGTCGTGCTGCCCAAAATTGATACTGAGCTTCTGAGCCTTGCGCTGACATGCGTTGCAACGTTCCGCTCAGGCTGTGACCAAGGCTGCTCTAAAGCGGCCGGCCAGTTCCTAACCCAACAAAAGGTTTAGGGTTTAGGGTTTTCGGGTACCCTAAACCCTAAACCCAGCAAGGGAGGCTATAACTAGGTCCAGAGTCCCTGCGCTCCCCGAATTGCACATTCCTGATTCATCCGATTCATCCGTTTGCTGAATTTCCCACGATCGTCGGCGTTGTTGTTGGGCCTCAGGCTTAAAAATCGCAGTTGTGCAAGCCTTTTTTGTCTTTCAAACTACTTTGATTTCTAGGTGTGGATATATTAGTGATGCGAGCGCCTGGAATGATGAAAGTGCGCGTGCAGCAAAGAGTTGCAACACACAGGCAGACCTAGAATACAAGATAATGCAAGCGGCGGCACCTTCACAAATATAATTAGTACGGCCTAAATGATGGATGCTCTGGTAGCACGTAGGTTTTTTATCGTGCTCTGGCTAATGGGTGCTATCGTAGCACCGACGTGCTTCTCGCGAAGGCATGGATGCTTTGGCCAGTGGATGCTGGTAGCACGGACGTGGCATGGATGCTTTGGGATGCGCTGGTAGTGCGGGCATGGATGCTTTGCAGGCATGGCTGCTCCGGCCAAGAAATGCTTTGCAGGCATGGCTGCTCTGACCACGGCTGCTCTTTGACGAAAGTACACGGCCAGATAGGGACCGTGGACCAACAACTGCAGGCCACAGCAGCTACAGCGCATCCGGAGGCATCCACAAGTCACCACTCACAAAACACCACGTGTGCGATCTGATCATCCGGTTCCTCTTGGCGCACCGGTGCTCGCATGCAAGTAAACCTGACGAAGATGGCAGCCATCTTTGGGTTGCCATGGTTGCCATGATGGCATATGCAATCATATGCATGTGCTCAGGCCGTGGCTTTCTTCTGCATGTGCTGCTTGCTTCGCCGCTTCTGATCGCAGTGGATCCTCACTATAGTTTTAACGTCTGGGCCCTAAGCCCTAAACCCTAAACCCTCATGGTTGTTATCAACAAGGAATTGTGGAGCGTGGCATGAATTCGCAATCGTGCGCCGAGTCGTAAGCCGATCGGGTCTCTGGGCGCCCAGGGGTTACCATGCCGAACCTGCACAACTTCGCCGCAGCGGGCCATGAGTGCATAAGGCGCCCTGCATGCCTTGCAAAACAAGTGACTCAAAAGTGTGCATGAAAACCCAAAACCCTTAACCCTAAACACTAAACCCTAACCCTAAACCCTAAACCCTAAACCCTAAACCCGAGCTACAGCAGAGGCTCGCACTTTGTGCCCATTGTGGACACGGAGCGAAGCTGCAAAACCTGGAGCTGTGACGTCTCCAAACTCCTTCTACTTGGGTAGCTATGGTTATGCTGACGGCTGGCGCGTAAGTGGAGGCACTAGCAAGAAAAACATTCAGATCCGCACGTTCTGTACCTGTGCCATCTGCCCCCCAGAAGCAGCATCATGTCTGAACAAAGCCGAATCGGAGGGCGAGTCCATTCACTATCAGGCGCCTGTGGCACGCACTCTTTCTTGAGGCAGTTGCGAAAATTTGCCTTCTCCCGGCAATCTCACGAGCAGCTTCATTGGAAACATGTGTTGGAATCATGCGCTGGCTGCTGGTGCCTTTTGCGTCTCCTCGCTTGTGCCGCCCAAGCCCTTGCAGTTTGGAGCAGCATGGATCAGCATCATTTTCGGGAGGTGCTGTACACTGTACACGCAGGGATATGTTGACACAAGAGTGGCACAAAACAGCACAATCATCTCCCAGTGAGGGCGGAGCCAAGTTGCCCATATTGGCCTTCCACCCTTCTACAAGGCGATGCCACGGAGTTCAATCGCTGTGCGCAATATTTTGCGTGTGCATGTCAGGCTCCGTCAGACTTGGAGATGTCTCCCCCCGTTCTCTATGCCCACTTGCTGCCAATTCTGGGAGGTTCATTGCGGCGGCTTGTGATCTTGCATGGATCCATCGATTCACCTCACTTTTTTTGAGCCGCGGCATGCAAACATGAGCAAAGGCGCATGAACTCGCTCCTCAGCTCTCATATGGCAAGGTGACTTTGGCAGAACGTACTATAGCGCGCTACTTCTGGCGGTCTTAAAGCAAACCATCCGAATCCAAGGCAGCTTGCGTCACGGGTGGGTGGACATGTGTTTTGGGGCGCTTTTTTCGGAGGCCAGGGAGGGGGCTGCATCCATTATAACTTTACTGGTTGCTAATACGACTTAAAGCAAATTGCAAATAGAATTATATATATATATATATATATATTTATATACCGTTTATTACCTTTCCTACTCAATTTTTTTACTTTCAAAACAATCTTCTGAGCTTGTACATGGCAAGCTGGGCCAACAATATGTCGTGCGGGCCACGGTCTCTCTCTTCCAGCAGCTGCTTAAGGCAATGCACGTCAGTGGACCTGCTGCAAGGACATGCTCATGTCAGAAAAGAAGCTTGACGCCCAAGCAGCTGTCACATGTCAAAGCAAGAGCCACGCAAATATAGATGACATGTCAATGGCTCATCTCGATCTCGGCGTGCGTGTTGCAGAGCGCTCGCTTTTGCGTGGTGAGCGAAGTTCGAAGCAGTGCATTAATTGCATCAAAGCTCCAGTACCTTAGAGCGGAACGGACCGTCGCTGGGCCGTTTGGTGCCTTTTTTCCCTTTTTTGGGGCTGTCTTCCCGAAACGGTCACCACTGGTCGCTGCCAGCAAGTTCTGGATGTGAATGGTCTAAAATCTCAGCTGAAGGGCGTCTTCCTTAGCCACCTCCGCGTCCGAGTCGCCCTGCCAGGACACTGCCTTCTTTTCTTATGAGTTGCTAAGCAGCATTGCCCTTTAGACAAAGCAGCTTCGGGATTCATGCGCTAGCTTCGTGAGTGACTCTCCTGGCCTCGAAGGTCACGTCAGCTTTGGCCAGCAGTTCGTCGAGCTCGCCTGGTAAAGAAGCTGGAGGGAAACCCAAAATCGTCCGGTGCTTGCTTGCGTCTTATGAACTAAATTTTACATCGGAAAGAAGCGCACAGCAATCACAGCAATGAAGTCCAAGCCACGTTCATTGCTGACAACCTGGGGCGACTTGGAGTACAGCTGAAAGAACTGACATAGTTCTGTGGTGTCTGACTGGCAGCCGAATGTGTAACTATCGCTTCAGCTGAAGGGCATCTGCCAAGGCCAACTCCGAGTCATCCTGCTGCTAGGACTCCGCGATTTGCTACATAGGAAGCGCAGATGTCTTGGCATGTTTCAGTATGTCTAGCCAACTCGGACTGCGGTATATATCCAGGCAGTATTGTGCTTTCAGATCCAAGCGCTGACGCGCTCAGGATTCGTGCTGTTGAGCGAATCTCCTGGCCTCGAAGGTCACGCCCGCCTGTGTCGCTGCTTTCTGTCTATACTTCTTTCTCTTTTTCCTACTTCTTCCTTCTACTTCTTCTGCACTGCTTCTATCTCTCTCGCTCCGGCTCCGGCTCCGGCTCCGGCTCCGGCTCCGGCTCCGGCTCCGGCTCTCGCTCTCTCTCTCTCTCTCTCTCTGGCTCGCTCTCTCACAAACTCAGCGAAGGGAGCTCCATGCGCCGCTTGTGTCACGGCGTCTTCTTTCGACTTCGTCACTTTCTCAGATCTTGGACATGAAGCATATGTCTTGCGGATGGGCAGTGCTTCTGTTGTAAATGCTAAATGCTCATCTATCGACCTACCTGGGAAAGCTCAAGAGTGCTGCATGCATCCAGTCTGAGCCCGTGTTGTCTTCGCTCAGCCATGCGCCTCGTCGGCTATGGCCAGCAGTTGGTTGAGCTCACCTGGTGCAGAAGCTGGAGGGAAGCATGGGGTCGTACGGTGAATATCTGAATGATAAGATCTTACTCGCATCATCTTGCATATTGGTGAAGAGATCCATGTGCAAGTCTCCCTAGGCGATCGGAAGCACGGCAAAGAAGTCCAAGCCACGCTCATCGGCGACCTGGGGCATCTTGGAGCAGTTGAAAGAGCTGTCATTAGGGTCTAGGGATTTGGGTTCACAGTTCTGTAGTGTGTGAGATCTGCTCCGGGAGTAGCAGCAACCGCTGTTCCACGTCAACTGGGGCCCGCGCTGAGCCTCCACCGTCGTCCTGGCTCACCGGTGCTGTCACATCTGAATCTCGTGGGCTTCAACTTCAGAACGATTCAGAGCCTTCAGCGATTGAGGTGCTCTAGGACAATTATTTCGCCGCCAAGGCATGGAATGTGCATGGTGCGCCTGAGGTCCTGATAATCGCGCGCGCGCGCGCGCGCGAGAGTGAGTTGAATGGAGTGAGTTGAATGCGCGGGTTACCTCACAGCACCAACCCCAGCTGACCTCCACGATATCAATGCCAGCTGCTGCAAGCGCCTGAAGTCGTGGGGAGCGCGAACGCTACCTACCCCCTTCCCCCCCTTCCCCCCCCCCTGGAGGAGCCCCGAACCCCAGGAATGGGGGCTTTAGTCGCTCACTCTCGCACAAGGCAGGCAAGGTCTGTCGGTCCGTTAGTCAGATACTGTACTGAATATCTATGGCATGCCGAGCTCAGGCCAAGCAGTCAGTCGGGCCATAAAGAAGGAAGCAAATGGGGGCTTTGAGGTTTTAGGTGAGAAGCTAGAATTCTGAGGCTTCTTTGCCGACCCTCTGCAGACAAAAAGTCTTCCTGTAAGCAGCTCTCCAACGCTTTTTTGTTTCTGTGGAGGCACAGGTTGGGAGCTTGTACTTTTGCCTAGGGGCTCGAGCCTCTATCCGATTTGGGCGGGGGACGCTGTAGTTCGGCTCCGGACCTGCTCTTTTGCAAAGATATTCTACTGTATCATGCATGCCAAGGCAATCTTACAGGTCAGAAAGGTTCTTGATCTAGCATGAGACAAAGATCATTCCTGGATGTTCGTGGAGAACAGCACTCTTGAACCGCTTGCAGGCACGAAAGAAGGAACCGACAGGCAAAGCTTCTCACTTGCATGTACAAGGGGACCCTCCAGATGACTACGACAGCCTCAGGGGCCACCACAAACTCTCCGGTTGGCACAACTGAGCTCGACAGAGGTATCACATGCCCCACTTTCACCCTGAGAGCTGCGCTTCCATCGTGTTTTCTGACTGGGTGTCGTCCTGGCACCGGATTGGTAGACGATGATCTCGGGACTCTCTTGAAGGGCTGCTGCGGAGATGCCATTCGAGGCCAGTCGGCACTGATCAACTTTTACGAGCTTCTCAAGTCAGGGCGAACTGTCCTCCAGAAATGAAATGCCCAGATCCTCGAAGGCAATGTCGAGGGCCTCATCCCATGAAAAAACTGACAATTCCCCTGCCCCCGCCCCCCCCCCTATGTACTCCCCACAAATGCGCTGCAACGCTATTGCAAGGCTGTCCGTACTGTAGGTCTCCCTTGCAGAAGCAAGCACACCGAGGCCGGAGCTTGCATAAGCTCGATCTGGTCATCCTGATCGAGAGGTGTGAGCAACAAACACACACACACACACACTCACACACACATGACTGAGATCTTAGTGGTGGGGGGGGGGGCGCACATGTTTTGGTTGCTGCAGCCTGCGACCTGTGGTCTAGTAGCCTCCAATGAATCTCGCCCCATGTGAAGCCATAGCCGGGGCCTTGCAGGAATCAACAACGACCGCCAACGCGTCCTGCGCGGGACAAGGAGTTACCACGGTGGGAAGGGTTTCGGCTCCGGATTCGCCAGCGCATCTTTGTCGCCTATAAGAAAGAACTCATCCAAAGCCTAAGCAGTGTCCCTAGTTCTGGGACGCGAGTTTGCGGGATTCGAACACTCCACAGCGAACTCGAAAGGCCCATGAAGGTCCAACAAAGTTCCCCAACCTTCCAAAGAGATCCCAAGATTTCAGCAAGTGCAAAGGTCGCCTCAGACGTAGCTTTGCCGTCTGCTTTCTTGTCCGTCGTTGGCAAAATCGGGTCTCGTGTGGCAGAGGCACCGACGGGATCCAGGGGGCTTGGATTTGGTACAGCGGGTTTAGGGTCGTAGTTGTAGGTTGGTTTTGAAGCCCAAACACCTCTGCAGCAAAAGGGTATCCGGAGCTCCAATCAACCACCACTAAGCAACAAGTCAAGTGTGCTTCAGCTTCCAGGTGCTTCGAGAACGAATCACAAGGTGGGGTCCCTCACTGCCCGGTCTCAGTCGACTTCTCTACACACTGCATCTTGGCAACCTGTTGAAGCCCGGGAGTGCACTTTATTGAGGCACGGGACTGGTCTGAGGCCGGGAGTGCACTGGAAAGTTGCAACCCTGTGCATCCCCACGACAGCCTGGATCCGCAAAGAGCTGTAACTATTTCTATACAAAGCGTACTGGCTGCGCCGGAATCTTGGACAATCTCTTCTTTCTGCAAGATCAATGATGTCCGTAAAACTTCTAATGGCTAAGTCAACCTTGCAGCCCCGCTTGCTAAGCTGCAGGCTCTCCGGCATGCCGAACTCCACCTCTTTTGGCTCCGGCTGATTCCGTCTGCCCTCCTGCCGTTGAGCAAACACCGGAGACACCGGCTAGCCCTTTACATGTCCCAGGCAATAAGTTGAGGGAGCGTTCAATATTTTCCCACTGCTCCATACCAAAGGCTTTCTCACCCTCTACTGCCCAGGTCCTGACCGCTCGCAGCTTGGGCAGCTTTGGTGTAGAAGTAGCAAAGGACGCCCGAACACCTCGTTCGTCGAACTGGTGTCATGGTCGATGATTTTGCAGCCCATCGGCTTGATAGCTTTACAAACCACCCGAAGCAAAATGAAAAAATCTTTTGACAGATGGCCAAGCTTGTCGCAGTCGCAGAGGGCTTAAGAGCGAAATAATTATGGAGACAGCAACGACGAATAAATCGAAGATAGCAAGGAAAGCTTGCTGGTATTCTAATCCAAAGAGCAGCGCGATGGCAACAACTGTGCCACCTAGCAACCATGCCACCCTTAGTGCAGCATTCCGGGTGTGAAGACCAGTCTGTACAAGCTTGTTTGAGCGGAGAGGGCCGCAAACACAGGTCGGGAATGAACGCCATCCGGCTAGGAGGTATATTCGGCAGCAGCCTCTGTCACGCAAATTGCTTCATGGATCCCGGTTCTGCTGAAACCGAGCATCCCGATGGAATTGTCCAGAGGTGCTTCTGCCTGGGCATAACTCAGCAAAACGTTGCTTGGAATGCCTGGAAAGGGTGAGACAGCGGCTTGCCTTGTGAAGATTCTTGCAAGCCGAGACTTGCAGTCACTAGTATCATTAGTGACCAGTCCTCGCAGAGTATCAGAAGATAAAAACCCTGCAATTTCATTGACATTGTCATATATAGTAAGATACGAGTAGAAGGTTGTAAGAAATATACGAGTAGAAGGTTGTAAGAATATCAGACTACCAGCTTTTGCTCTGCTGGCCTCCGGGCCATCCACCACAACGACATCGATGTCCGGGTTGTCGTTCTCGGTTGCGGCCTCTTTCCGGACATCGAACTCTGCAGTGGGCGTGCAAACGTGGGGCCGCTAGCTGTTTTCTGCCACTTGCCCCGCTTGTCCCACTTGCTCTGGGTTTTTTGGTTGGAAACGACATCGCCCCACTTGCCTCACTTGCGCCCTGTGCGGGCCGCTGAGGGAGTTCTGCCACTGGTCCCACTTGCCCTTGCAGATCTGCCCCGCCCCCGTTACCCTGCGCCCTGAAGCTTGGGGCACGTGGGGCAGGTGGGGCAAATGGGGCAAGTGGGGCGATTTCACGTACAGCACATTTTTGAGGATCTGGGTCTGCCTGACGCACTGGTCACCAGGTCTCAGCCGTCTTTCTAGAACCCTAGATCCGCTTCAGAAATTTTGGACCGTTTTTGGGAGGCGGTTGGCCATGCCCACGTCGAGAGCACGCTGCTCTGCCTTAAGAGGCCATCCCAAGGGATCCACCTTCACATGACTGACAAGACGGGCTGCAACGTCCTGCAACCATTCTCGCAATCTTGCTGCAAAGCATCTTGAAGCTCAACCGGGACAAAGACTCTGCAAGCCCCTTATACAATTACATGTTCCAACGACAACCGGCGCCTGCTTGAAAACTCGCAGCCTCAACCTGCGAAAAACTGAAGGCCACACGAGCAGTGGAGATGCTAGAATCAAAGCTCGTTCAGCTAAGCGTTGGAAATCATGATTCAAGTTGCCACAGGCTACAGACAGAAGGTCGATCGTGTCGGAATGCAAGCCTTTAGTTACTTCCTGGTCATGTCCTGTAGTGTCGAAACCAACTTCAGGACACAACTGCTTTCAGTTCTGATGTGTGCCGTCTCAAGCTGAAAGCCAAGAAGCCCAATTACGCCGTTCACACGTGCTGTTGTATTCGCCTTGGCTGCACAGAAACCTCGAAAGACTGCAAAGGCCCCAAAACTACGATCAAAGTTCCCTCAGTGAACATCGCATTAACCCGCGGGCTCAAGACATTGGAATGCCTCAAAATGCGAAATGCGCAGTGGATCTATGAGCTGATCCGAACGAAGCGTAGAGATCCCTGAAGGCACAGATCAAGCTCAGTTCTTGCACCTGAACCCGGACATCAGCTGAGAAAGCTCAAGCCATTCTAGCCATCTCCTGCTAGTCTGCCCAATTCGCGACAATAACTCAGAGCATTCTTCGGGAGGGACCCTTGTTGAGGATGCGCTGTTAAGGGACAACAGCAAATGCTCCTGAGCTCCTACCTCTTGTGCCTCAGATTTGCTCTAGCAACCCGCCTCGCGTGAGGCTTGTGAGGAATCCCTCCCCCGGTCACTCCTTCTCCTTAGGACGGGGCCGCCTGGATATTCAGGTTCAGCAGGGCCTGCACCTCTCATGAAAACAGGCATCCATGTCTTTTTGAAACAATGTATCAAAGGATTCCCTCTGTAGTCTACACAGCGAAACATGTGAATTCCAAAACAAAACATGGCAAAACCATTTCCCCAGATTCCAACGAAGCAGTTCTCTACTATGTGCTACGCATGCTATGTCACATTTCGGTGCAATATCTGGCTTAGAAAGTTCCATGATATGTTATCAGTCGTACAGTGTATGTGCTAAACGTCTACGTACCACAAGTATGTTACACTTTCCATGCTACCTTGTATCTATTATTGACATAACGCGGGCCAGGCCTGCGGCGCGGTAAGTTCTTCGAGACTTGACAAGAAGAGCTGCAGCTCCTGTCGCAGTTATAGGGCCCAGAGAGGTTCGGAAACACAACGTGGCAAATGAATGCACGTCACTAGGCTGGATATAGAAGTATATGTATACACAGATAGATATAGATATCGATATCTAGCTTGCTCTGTAGATATTGCACCAGAACGAAGAATATTTGCATATACCATATCGGGAAACAGATATGTATATATATATATATATATGTACACATATAACTATATAAATACATATTATACTATATAAGATTATATATACACACACACTTGTACATAAAGATGCGTGTATGTATGCATGCTCATCAGCGTTGAGCTTTCATGCTTGCTTGCGGCAGCAGGAAACGACTCCTCAGAGTCGTACTTGGCATCTGCCACGAAGGCCACATGCACCAAACTCTCCTGTCTGCAGAACAAGCCAGGGCATCGGTTTGATCGGCCGAGGAGGAAACGGTTTCGGGGAGCAGTGAGAGCATCACGAGGAGCAGGGAATTCGTTCAGACTCCCGCCACGGCTATGGGCAGGGAGCTTCGATTCAGCGAGAGTCAGCAACGGAAGCATCCGTCGAGTGACGACACGGTGTTTGTCCAAGATGGGTCCTTGGTGGCATTCTGCTCCACTGTCACCTCCACCTCGGCCTGCAGGCCCTGCAAAGACGTGTGCGGGCTCTCATGGAGTTTAGCTGGCATCTTTTTTTTTTTCTCTCTCTCGCTCTCTTCTTCTTCTTCTTCTTCTTCTGCGAGGCATAGACGGCCCCGAAGCACCCCCGCGTTCGGTGTCGGTGTGACACGTAAAATCACGTAGAAGGCGGGGATACTCACGGAAAGCACACCCCCGGAAAAGCCCCCCCCCCCGCCCCCACGAGAAACAACACAAGAAACAGGTTTCGTGGTTTCCCCTACAGGCGGCCAGAAAAACATGCAATCTCTATCTCATGTGGAACGGTGATCGTTCCCGCCCCGAAGTAATCTGGCCCACCTTCAGTATGTTTGCTGGCTCCCCCTGAAGTTTGCCTGGGGTAAGCAACCCCGAAAAAATAGAAACATTCTTCCTTTTTAAGGGTAATATAGGAATTATTATTTTCTTTTCTTTTGGGGTTCTTAAGCAAATAGTAGTTGCAGCGGTACTGTACGTGAAGGCGGCTCTTCCCCGACTTTATGTCACAATGTACGAAGGTGGCAGGCTGCAGGACCCCCCCCCCCCCCTCTCGCGACGCTGCACGCAAGCAAAAAGGAAAACAGAGCACGACTCGAGAATTAACATGCCATCGCAACAACCTTGCAGACTGATATTGGTGCTTGTGCTGAAACTCTGTCTTTTGTCCTTCCTGCGCTCTTGACCCCCCGAAGGGAATCGCCCCGGGGCGTGCTCCAGCGATCCAGTCGGCGTGAACCACAGAGGTGGATGTTCCCCTCCTTATTCGGAGGGTCATCCCTGTGCCCTGTGTCTGGTGCAAGTGCGTCGCATGCATTACCCCATCAGACACGACTTGTATGACAAGCCACGGGTAGACAGGTTCGTACAGCGCAAAGGATAGTCTCTCTCTCTCTAGTTCTCTCTCTGTCTCTCTCTCTCTCTCTCTCCCTCTCTGCCTCTCTCCCTCTCTCCCGCTCTGCCGCGCTGCCTCTCTCCCTCTCTCTCGCTCTCCCTCTCTCTCTCTCTCGCTCTCTCTCTCGCTCTTCTCTCTCAAAGGGTAAGAGGGTAAAAGTGCCGTGGCGGGGGCAGCCTCCCTCGACCTGATGCTGCTGCCTCTACAGAAGCTCTCTCCTTCCACACATATTATGTTTTTGAATATTGCGAACTCGGACACCTACACACAAGTTTCTGCACACCATACCCGTTGACAATCTGGGATCTCTTCGTCATGCAATGGCACGCCTGGTCGTAGGTGTGGGAGCGTTGATGCAAAAAGAAGCCCTGAGTCCCTGAGTATGAAGTTTTCTAGGTAGCCCCCATCGCCAAGCACGCCCCCCCGCTACACCCTAAACCCTAAACCCTAAACCCTAAACCCTAAACCCTAAACCCTAAACCCTAAACCCTAAACCCTAAACCCTAAACCCTAAACCCTAAACCCTAAACCTAACCATCCAACGTAAAGATTTCAAGGCCTGGCCCAGAAGCTCTGCGAGGCCGGCGGTCAGCCCTAACAGGGCTGAAGGATTAGGAGAATTTTGAGGCTGAAGCTCCGGACCCTCCATGACATGAAAGTCACAGTCTCTTGGAAGCACTCTTTTGCTAAGCCGGATCAAGACATGGGAGGACACGCATCGGGGCACCTTCTAACACTGCGGAGTCGCCGAGGAAGGAAGTCACGTTCCTGAGGAAGACCCGCATTACCAATGGAGTGGGCCTTGACCTTCAATAGGCCCTGCATAAGAGGGGAAAGGGACTAAGTCCGAGCATTGATGCTGAAAGACTGCGTTTTCTTTTCCGGGGGGTGGGGGTGAACCCTTGAACTCTTGAAAGACTTGCCCAGCGACGAGACCAGCAGGTCAAGGTCTCCAAGAATCTGCAGCAACTGGAACGTGGTAGAGCTGCTTGAAGTGACCTGGCAGCGCAGCCAACAAAAGAAGCTCCAAGAATTGTTTGGGAGCAGTAGCCTTCGCCGTGGAAAGAAGGCCCTCTAAGAGGCGAATGGAACATTTTTTCTGGCCAGAGAACCAAAAGAAGCTGGAGTGCTTCCGGCGAGCGAATATAGGGGCCTTAACAAGTAGAACAACAGGATAATGATAGCGGGACCATAAGGGAATATTACTAGTCATTATTCCGACCCCTTTATTTTTTGGGTGAGCTCCTTAGGCTCAGGCCGTGGTCCCTGTGGTCGTGACCGTGGACGAGGAAGTCTGCGTGGCAGGGGCCTGGCGATCACATCGTGACATGTCACTCCCGCCTTCGGACTTCTGAAAGTTTTCGGTGCCCTTGGGTCAGAGAAGCGTATAATCTGCAGCTCAACAGATACAGCTTTTGGAACGCCGGTGGCAGTGCGTTGCTGGCAGCTTCAAAATTCCCAGACGAAGCTAAGGAGAATCCGATCTGATCCGACGCCCTCTCGGACAGCCGCTCCTCCACACACGTCGGGTTCGTGCCGCTCAGCACCTCAAGGCTCGGGATCTTTGTCTCAGTGTGGTGGCTGCATGATGCAGAGCCTTCCCTGCTCCAAATCCCGTCCTGGTCATGGTCCAAAAACTGAGCCGGGGCACCCCGTCAGTGCTGCAGTTCCGGGTGACAGTCGGTCCAGTGAAGCCCACTGCGCAGCCCACGTCGCAAGTCTGATACGTCCTCGACTTGTCAAGGTTTTGGCAAGTGCCGCAGGGTGCAATGGAACTCCGCAAATAGAGGGGAGTGGTGTAGACTGTCACTGTGAAGCAACAGGCACGTGCGCTCCCGTTGTTCCGCCAAGATGCACAATACCTTGGCAGTCGTGCGAGAACTGAGGTCCGAAGGGCAGGTTGTAGGCGCAGATCTGAGGAACGCATTCCTTAGATGGCCACTTTTCTGGGCACTTTGCCGGCTTGTTGCTAGTTGCGCTTGAAACTCCGGCCCTCCCCAATCTCAGTGGAGTAAACCCATGGCAAGAAGCTGGCACCTCACCACGCAGGGCATAGCCGTCCTTGCACAATGTCAGCATTTTTCATGGATGTCATGGCTTATAAGGTCAGAGAGATGAGCGTGCCTATGCCCTTCAGGGCTTCAGAGAAAGGAACCGGCCTTCTTCGGGCCTCCTCATCGGGGATAGTCTAGCAGTCAAGTTGAGAAGAGGAGGCTAAAGCCATGCCAAGCTTCAATCGGAGGCGCATCGCTTACCTTAGGGGTATCTTGGATGTTGTTCAGGAAGCACGGTGACTTGGGTGGTTCGCCCACCAAGAATGTGAGAAGATGTGAGACGTGCATTGGGAGCCTCCGTGGAGACTGTTGAACTGTTGATTGGCAGCACAGTTGCGTTTGCGGAGTCGTCTGCTGCACACGACCATTGTTGCACCTCCGCTTTCGAGGCTTCTTGAAGCCACTTTTCGGATCACAGGAGCTGCGGGAAGGTGCACTGGTAGCATGGGTGACTCTCACAACGAAGATGCAGGGCAGTTGAGAAACCCAAAAAAGGAGAGCTTGAGAACACACATGGCAATAGACTCACACCTCTCGCCTGCCAGAGCCGGACGAAGCCTTGCCAAGGCAAGGCCACCTGCAAGGAAACCGTCTGCTGCAATCCACTACCAGTTGTAGTAGTAGTAGTAG